TCTCTGACAAGTGTTACATGTGGAGCACCACAGGGATCAGTGCTAGGGACAATTCTCTTTACTATATATATGCTTCCAATTAGTAGAATTATTAAACAGCAAGTCATTCATTTCCAGTTATGCTGATGAAACTGAGCAAAATCTGTCCACAAATACTGATTAAACTGACCTGTAAGATAAACAACAGGCCCGTTTCAATGACATACTTAAATTTTCCACTTTGAATTTAGACCAGATATGATTCTTTAAAAAGGAAGCTTATTAGACATATCATTTAGATTAAATCCACATTTTATCTGGATGATTATGAACTGGTCTGAGATCACGAAAAAAACCTTGGTTTAATTTTTGATCAGAACCTATTTGAATTCTGTAATTAATAGGATTCTATAATTTCATTATCATGTACGAAATATTGCAAAAATCAATATCAATAAAAGATGCTGAGAAACTAGTTATCCTTTTTTCAAATTCAAGGCTGAACTATTGTAACCCTTTATCATTAGGAAACCTTACAAAATGTACTTTTCCTATCTTAACTTCCATTCATTGGTTTCATGTTGAATCCAAAATAAAATTTGAAGTTCTTCTCATGTATAAAGCCCTAAATAACTTGAGTTCATCTAGTATCAGATCAGATTGTCCCTATGCTCCTAACAGCATTTGGCTTTCAATCTGCCGGTTTACTAGTAGATCCTTGAATTTCTAAAAGCAAAATGGGAGGCAGGCAGATTTTTTTAGTTATCAGGCTCCTCTCCTTTGGATGTGAACTCAGAGAAAATAAAGCCACACACAACAAATCTTGTTCACTTTTTAATTGTTACACAGTATTTTACTGGCACCAATGCATCGTAGTTTTCCTTTTGCTACATGTACAGATGATAAACCCATCTCTACCTCGAAGTAAACAAAAAATAAATAAATACAAAAAATCATTTTCTGAATGCAGTGGCTCTGTAGAGAAGCATCTCTTTCATTAGGGTAATTTTAGTCTTCATTCTTGCTTCTACCTGGACTCCGTTTTATTTTTTGGCAACTTTGAACATTAAAACATGAGAGTAGCATTATTAACAGTCCAGGTAATATTGGCAACAAAAGGATGAAAACAAACCAAAAATAGAGGATATTGTGACTTCATTTAAACATAGGATCTGACAGCCACTTTAAAAAGTTTAGATAACGGACAGGACATCTTAAAATAAACTCCCATTGTTTTTTGTTTTGTTTTTGTTTATGTGTGCGATTACCAACAGGAGGTGCCACATTGTATTGGAGTGAGTCAGAGTAACAGCATTTTCCCCCAAAATGCTAAACTTGATAAAGTGCTGCATATAGTAGCCCCCCCGCCCCCAAAAAAAAGAACAATCAAATATGTAGTTTATGACCTTGACATTGAGCAAATCCATTTATGGCGACAAATTTGAACTTTTTCTATTGTCTGTTGTCGGTTACTGATAAATCAAAGCTTAATTATTGTTTATCATTTAGCAAGCTCTTTGTAACATTTAAATTTCAGCTCATAAACCTCCTTCTCAGACTTCCAAGGGTATATATCATCATATCTCAGACACAAAACAAATATTATCCTTTTAAACTTGAGAAGTTTCTAGCCTTTCTTACAGTAATATTTCAACTAAATTAGCCGTGTCAAATGGACTGCTGTTGAACACACTGAGTTTATAAAAAAAATAAAAAGTACTAAAGTAAAAACCCCAAAACAAATCAGGAAATATTAATGAGCTTCATAACCTCTAACAAAATCTTACATTTAAAGGAAGCAACAACTAAAACATTAAGGAAAAGGGTGCAACTCAGTTTATGGCATGGCTAGAATTGAAAGCTGAAACAGGGAGTTAACAGTCAGACCAATGAGAAGACTATCAATTTTGCTCTTCTGGTGCAAAATACCTTTCAACTTCCACAATTAGATCTCAGTAACCCCTCTTTCTAAACAATTCAAGTTGATGTTTGCTAAAAATAAGCCTCACTAGTAATATAATTCTGATCAGTGTCTAAGGCATTTCAAATGTGACCGTAGCAACGGTGTGATACTAAGCATTTTAATGTCTCCTCCATTCAACATATGTAATGTTAAACAGATTAAGTCCTAAGAATAATAGTTTGATAGCTACATTATTCAGTGCAGGTAAATCCAAATGAGTCAAATGCAGAGTAAAGTGAGCCTCACACAACTGCTGCATGGCTAACAGATAGAAAAGAGGCCATTTTGTTGTGTGTCTGTGGACATCTGAGTGGCATTGCTAGGGAAGAAATTACAGCATCTGTCTGAATGTTGTCAAAATGTTTTAGTCCCATTTTAGTTTTCTAACAAGTGGACATTTGACAGTAAATTCACAGCAAATTATATACAGAGTGGACTCACCAAATTGCACTTTAAATCTCTCTGTGGAGTCCTGGTTTGCCAAGTCTCTATATCCGTGAACTCAAAATTCATTTATTTACTCAAACTCAAGTTAGAGACTTTGCCAATACTTATCTGCTGATGTGAGAGTTAATTGGGATATTAAATGTAACCTTCTCATTTTATTACACATTTCTAAATATCAGTCTGCAAGCCTGAACATATTTAAAAATAAATGCTGGAGAAGTGATGATATATACCCTTTAAGGTTAACAGCAAAGTGTGAGAAACCCACATCTGCATGTGCTTTACAATTCTATTCCCTTAGTTAAAAAAAGGACCATTTAATCTCATATTTTCTAAAAGCTAACAAGCAGGATAACTTTAATGCATAAACCAACTTCAATATCAAACGTTATCTTTTCATGTAACCAGGAAACACATTTTCAAGTCAGCGCACTAACATGGTCGACCATGCATCAGTACCGATCACTGATCCTTCTGTCCAACATGCAGTAAAACAATAACTTGTACAAAAAGAAAATCAGATTTTAACAAAAGATAAATAATAAATTAAATCAAATCTATGCTTTTCGTAAACAAATATGCTAACTTCTATTTACAAAAAGTGTACATTGAAAAGAGCTGCCTCTGTGACTTCACAAAGCCCATCTTGGTGGACAAAGATAAACAGATGAAGTTCATAGCGTTGAGCAAAAACAAAGATGATGTCATGCGGTTATGCTAATTCTGAAAAGACAAGATGAGATCAAACATTTAACAAGCCTCCAGACAGCAATGCTAGATTCTGCTACTGCTCAAACATGTTGAGAAAAATGCTAAAGTTCATCCTGTATGTAGTGTTCCCACTATGAAATCCACTGTAATATACATTGATGACACTTTCCTTGTGATAATTGAGAAGTTAGGTCTGAATGTGAATTTACAGGTGCTGGTCATAAAATTAGAATATCATGAAAAAGTAGATTGATTTCAGTAATTCCATTTAAAAAGTGAAACTTGTATATTATATTCATACATTACATACAAACTCATATATTTCAGATGTTTATTTTGTTTAATTTTGATGATTACAAATGACAACAAATGAAAATCTCAAATTCATCATATCAGAAAATTAGAATATTACTGAAGACCAATAAAAACAAAGGATTTATAGAAATGTTGGCCAACTGAAAAGTATGAACATGAAAAGTATGAGCATGTACAGCACTCAGTATTTAGTTGGGCCTCCTTTGGCCTGTATTACTGCAGCAATGCGGCGTGGCATGGAGTCGATCAGTCTGTGGCACTGCTCAGGTGTTATGATAGCCCAGGTTGCTCTAATAGTGGCTTTTAGCTCTTCTGAATTGTTGGGTCTGGTGTATTGCATCTTCTTCTTCACAATACCCCATAGATTTTCTATGGGGTTAAGGTCAGGAGAGTTTGCTGGCCAATTAAGAACAGGGATACCATGGTCCTTCAACCAGGTACTGGTAGCTTTGGCACTGTGTGCAGGTGCCAAGTCCTGTTGGAAAATGAAATCTGCATCTCCAAAAAGTTGGTCAGCTGCAGGAAGCATGAAGTGCTCTAAAACTTCCTGGTATGTGGCTGCGTTGACCCTGGATCTCAGAAAACACAATGGACCAACACCAGCAGATGACATGGCACCCCAAACCATCACTGACTGTGGAAACTTTACACTGGACTTCAAGCAACGTGGATGAAGTGCCTCTCTTCTTTTCCTCCAAACTCTGGGACCTTGATTTCCAAAGGAAATGCAAAATTTACTTTCATCAGAGAACATGACTTTGGACCACTCACCAGCAGTCCAGTCCTGTTTCTCTTTAGACGCTTCTGACGCCGTCTGTGGTTCAAGAGTGGCTTGACACAAGGAATGCGACAGCAGAAACCCATGTCTTTCATACGTCTGTGTGTGGTGGTTCTTGAAGCACTCACTCCAGCTGCAGTCCACTCTTTGTGAATCTCCCCCACATTTTTGAATGGGTTTTGTTTCACAATCCTCTCCAGGGTGTGGTTATCTCTCTTGCTTGTACACTTTTTTCGACCACATCTTTTCCTTCCCTTCGCCTCTCTATTAATGTGCTTGGACACTGAGCTCTGTGAACAGCCAGCCTCTTTAGCGATGACCTTTTGTGTCTTGCCCCCCTTGTGGAAGGTGTCGATGGTCGTCTTTTGGACAACTGTCAAGTCAGCAGTCTTCCCCATGATTGTGTAGCCTATAGAACTAGACTGAAAGACCATTTAAAGGCTTTTGCAGGTGGTTTGAGTTAATTAGCTGATTAGAGTGTGGCACCAGGGGCCATCAATTTTGAACCTTTTCACAATATTCTAATTTTCTGATATGATGAATTTGAGATTTTCATTTGTTGTCATTTGTAATCATCAAAATTAAACAAAATAAACATCTGAAATATATGAGTTTGTATGTAATGTATGAATATAATATACAAGTTTCACTTTTTAAATGGAATTACTGAAATCAATCTACTTTTTCATGACATTCTAATTTTATGACCAGCACCTGTACTGCCATTTGGAGTATTAAATTAGTGTTAAATTTCACAGCTCTATCAGCATAAAAACCTATTATTACTTCACATTTTTTTCTCGGCTACACACAATCAAGAAAGGGAATATCTCATTAAGGCGACATCGATGATGGTTAAGGAGAATTTCATGAAGCTGCAGCTGCTTGAATAAAACTGTATTCACAGCATTTTGGAAAAATCTAAGAAACCTCTTGTAATGGGACTTTGTGATCCACACTAACCCTTTCAGGAAGTATTTGGAAAGTAAACAATCCAAACAGTCCATCTTTGCAACATACCTTCAAAAGACCCGGTGCCTGCAAAACTTTGTTCTCTATAATCTGAACAACTAAAATATAAAAAGTCAATGCCAAACCATTCAAGTAACTTAAAGTGTATAAATCCCCAAAAGAGGCCAGCCAGTGTGGAAGAAAAAAAAACAAAAAGAAAAAAATATATATAATTTGTAGTGTGGATAAAGTCTTCAAGATGCTTTTTAGCCCGTTTTACTAAGAGTGAAGACAAAAAGTAGTGTTATTGTGCTCCGGGTTGAGTGTGACAGCAGTAGTGTGAACGGCAGCCTCAGCAGCCAAACTTTTCACTCTGGTTGCAGCTTTTTCAGAGTCTGGTTGACAAGACAGGAAGAAGTCCTCAAAAGTGGAAGAGGACACATTTTTCAGGAAGAAGGTTAATGAAGCTTAAAGAGAGGTGCGAGCAGCAGGGATGATGAAAGGAGGAGGAGAGGAATACAGAAGTAACCTAAGGCTGCTCCTCTTTCTTCTTCAGTGATATACGCTTCTTCCTGGCAGCAAGCATTTCGTAGAAGGGATCCACACTAACTGCAGATCTAAGAAGAGGAAAGAGTGGAGAGTTTAAAATAAATGTGGACAAGCTCACAGGGAGATCAGAAGCGCAGCATAGTTAATATGTGGAAAGCAAAACAAAACCAATAAAACTGTTAGCAAAGCAATTTATCTGTTAATCTAGTTTCCTTCCGTATCAATGTTTTCTTACTTGATGCTGTGGATCCACTCGTCCTTCTCCTCCGGTGTGGGTGCAGAGATGCGGTACACCATGTGGTTCCCCTCCACCACCCTCCCATCAGCCTCTGTCTTGCATGCCTTAATGAGCTGCCCACGGTTGTTTGGGATGTACAGTTCAAAGCAGTTCTATTTAAGAAAGGATGGAAACATTCGAGAACAAGAGAGATTTACAGCATCCGTACCATTGAGAACAGGTCAGCTGACAACCTTTGCTGGGCATGGGGCCGCTGACCTGTTGTCCACCCAGTCGGCGGGTGCGTTTAAGAATATTAACAAAATGAATCCACTTAGACCTTTTGGTTAGGAGATGAACAACACTTACAGGCTTCCTTGGATCCTCTACTTCACGGATGCTAAGGTTTTCCAAAGGAATGATACCTCGTGGCTCCTTATCCTGTTAATAAAAAACATTTTGTAAAATATATAAGTCAAGGCGCTTTTATATTGATAAATCATTACTAAAGCTTTTAGAGCGAAATGGTGTAAAATAACGACCTTTCCCCCCCTTTTAAATATATGTAGGCTATCTTTAAGAGGTTATACCTTTGATATACATACAAATATGAGAAATTTAAGATTTCTAGATACACATTCTTAATCAAAATATTAAAATGAGTTATGAAATGGCTATAATTTGCATTTCACACAAATGAATCTACACACATTCCGAATAGAAGTCCACAGATCCAAAATAACAATTAGGAGCAAGAGAAACACCTTTGAACAGGCTTTTATTTATTTTAAGCTATTTAATTTGTAAAAGCTGTAGCAGTTCTGCTGCTCAGCCTGAACTCATCCTGGTATAGCTAAAAAATTGTCCAGAAGCAAACAAAATATTTCTGCCTTTTAAAGGAAAATCTTGCACAGGTCAAGTGTCCAGAAATATTTAGGTTGCTTCTAGAATTTTTATATTATAAGCTAGTCTTAAGTTAACTTACAACTGTTTATCAGTTGATCCCATGTTTAAGACCATAGCTTCAAAAAAGAAAACCCCTAAAAGCAGAAATCAAAGTGTCAAAAATAACTTGGTAATGAGTAGCTCCTACCAGGAGGCTGGTAAAAGGCAAATTGTTGTGATTAATAACTGGTCTTTAGATTTTAATCAGGAATGTATTACACTTCTACTCTAGCCAGTGGCATTACTCATAATAATATCACTCACAAATAAATCTGTCTTCTTAGGCATAAAAGAAAACAGGGTATGCTCTGCAGTATTTCCTTACAAAAAAACGACATTCATTAAAGCTTCAAAATCAACCAATAACGGTCCAGACCATCCAGTCCTCAGGTTCTGTTTCCAGATAAGTTTCCTCTTGAATGTCACAGATTTAGATAAAGTAATAATCAGGCTAATGACATAATTCCACTATTCAAATAAAATGTTAATTTCATTTATAACTAGAGGAACACCTACATGCTAAATTTTCATATTAGAGATACAAACATTCATTGAATTCATTGTCTTGATGTTTTTGAAGCTATTATTGTAGTCAAATAGATTGTCATTATTCTGGATTTTAGTTTACGTCATTGCATCTCCTGCACTTTATGCTGTATTTAGTCAATGTTAAACCCGGCCATAATAATCGTTTTACAAAAAAATAAAATAAAAAATGCAACTATAGGCAAACTACTGCAGATACTGCCCCCTACAGGTCTGTAAGCAGCATTACAAAGAAAGCACTCCAAACTTTTACACCTTCTGTCCTGTAGGAATGGCGACGCAAACAGAGACTTACTGTGGTATATTCAAAGTAATAAAGACAGTTGTCTGTTAGGATGAACCATCGACGCTTCCAAGTTTTCACTCTTCCCCCTGAAAGAAACAAAAATCAATAGGAACCCATTTGTAACAAATGTTTAAAGGAAGCACAGGAAGAATTTTACTATAACACTACTCTACAATATCTACATTCTACCTACAAACTCCAGTTCTAATGTATATTCTTTTTCTACTTTATATCAAAACACTTTTTCAGTACATACCTCCTGAGAAAACAAGCAGCAGCAGTAGAGCATGGAAACAGCAGGAAAGAAGCAGAGACAAAGAGGAATTAGATGGAGACAACAGGAAAAGGGGAAAGAGTCTGTATTAGTGACATGGACCACAGGTCCCGTCATGCGAAAAGGACATAATCAGGACTGCCATAGCACAAGGGAGAGAATCTGTTCCACCATCATGCTATGACAATATTTAGATATAACAACAGCTTCTGGTGATTGTATCTAGTGGAGGCAGAGAGGCAGCAAACCTCAGAGGCAAAAAGACAAGACTTAATACAACACAAAGCTTTGGAGATGATTGGAGAACAGTACAGAACTATTTTTTCATGGAAATGTATTCTTCAATTCTCTGTAACAAATACTGCATTTATCAGCAACAGATGGACAGGAGGTTGGAGCGGAACTAGAAGGCCGACGGCCTTGTTGGGAAAGCTCACCAAGTTTAAGAAGCCAGCCCTCTCTGTCTGGGTTGAAGAATGTGTGTGTGAGGTCATTGCCATCATCCTCCGGGATCTTAAATGGTTCATTCTTAATGCTATCATAAAGATTCTGAAAAAAAAACAAACAAAAAAAAAAGGCAAAAAGTGAACTCAGCATCCATTTCTTCCCATCAAAATGGACGACTTCATCAAGCTGATCGTACTCTGAGCAGCTCCTCTGGTAGGTCTCCTCCATCGTTGATGCCGCGGTTCATTGAGATGAAACGGTCCAAGCCAGGTTTGTCCCTCACATTGGGGTTATGCAGGCTTGTGTTCAGCATAATTATGGCAAATGAAAGCACATAACATGTGTCTGTGGACAGAAGAGAAAGCAGAAAACATTAAGACACATGAACTAGACTGAACTTAAACAGGAGGGAATGCATCGATATTTTCATTATGATCCAGGTCCATTACTAGGAGCACTTCATTTACCATTAAGCAGTTAAAGAGAGCAGCGCACATTGCTTACTCCTTTCAACCACAGGTCAATTACAGAAACAATCCATTAGTGACACGTTCTGCTTAAAAATAAACGGGCAGATAAGCTAAACCAAATGTTTTGCACGGGTACAGTTGAGTTTTTAAAAGCTTTTCTAAATTCTGACAGTACAAGCAGTCCAAACTACAATTTACATACATAGTAATAAGTCATGGTCACATATTTCACAATTCCTGAAGAGGTAAATGGCCAAACATCTGCTAGCAGTGGAAATGTTTCCCAGATTGGAGAGACAATATTAGCTTTTAATGTTTTATCCATGTAATGTATGGAAAAAGATAATTGTGGATTAAAGGCAGCACCTTTAAACAACACATTTTAGCTGTTAAATTATGTCATTAGATAATAAACCACTGCAATAGCAGAGATAACACAACAAGCATATGTTTGGTAAATCATTGTCACGGATACATGAGATGCCTAAAACAGATTTAATCAGTTTCACTAGTTTTCTCTCACCATTCAAATCTGCATGTACGCACACCAGTCAAAAATAATGATACAAACTACTCCTGAATTTGCATGTAAACCATTAAAATTATGGTGTTAAATGTGTGCATAAAAACAGTCAAACGACAAAGCTTCTACTCAAGGTCATCATACTGCAAAGACCTAGCAGCTAATGCTTAATACAAGTCATTAAAAATGTAAATTATGAATCCTATCCAGTCTTTATGGTACCTTTAATGATAATCCGATTACCCTGAAAGATAAAAAGCTAAGGACAATTGACCAACCCTTGGAACTTGATACATAGTCGCAAAGAATCAATGCATCAAAAAAACAAAACATGATTCTATCAACATGTATTTGAAAAGCAGCGCCTGCCAAAGTACTTCTGCTTTAAACAAAGGAATACAGAAAGAATGTGCCTCATCCAATAACAATTCAAGGAAGCAATGAAAACATAAACTGCTCTCATTGAAAGGTGGTGGGTATAAATATAGAGGACCCTGTGTGCAAACTATTACTGGTAAGTGAGAGAGTATGTGAGGGCAGCTTATCTGGAAAATAACTATGTTTCAACAATCAGAGTTTTACTGAACTGGGAAAAAGTCCAAAAACAACAAATGACAGAGATTTCAATGCCAAAAGATGGATTTTATGCTTTCTTACCTGTGCTCTGGAAGACACCAGGGTTACAGTGGCAATATCTCTGAGCAAAAGCTTCCATCATTCTGTCAATCTTCTGGGCTTCGCCTGGCAAACGGAAACTCCACAGGAACTGTCTGCAGAACACGGGACAGGATATACATCCAAGTTGCAAAGATCCAATTCTGCAATCCAAGCAGTCCTAAACAGCCCCTTTTGCCTGCATGTGTGAATCTTGTATGCTTGCATTAATCAGGCTGTGTGTGTGTGGAGCTTGTACTGTGCATGTATGAATCACATATGCGTATTTGTGAAAATTTAGACTGATCTAAATTTATATGACAATGGCTGGAGATGCATGCTTTATTGAACACAGTAATAAACAGAAGAGTAGAAGTTCACCTGAGGGCCTGCACAAGGTTAAGGTCTGTAAACTCATGGAGGTCAACAAAAGCTTGAAGCACCTTGATGTTAAAGTCGTCTCTGCAGGAACAAAAGCTTCATATATTAACAAATCATTTCCACCAAAGAACCATAGAAATGCATGTTTGTTTGTTGTTTAACTTTCACCTTTCTCCCAGGTAATCTCCTATAGCTGTCTTATTTAGGCCTTCTCCCTTGTATAAGAACTGTGCGATGTCCTCTGGTGTGTGTCTAAGCAGCTCGTTCTCCACCAGGAACAAAATCCCCTGCAAAAACACTGAAAGGTGAGCAAACAGAAAAAGAACATTAAACAGAGGCACAGCAAAAAATCCAAGACGACAATACCTTTTTTGGGTCCATGTTGAACTTCTTCCGTCCCATAGCCACATGTCTACTTTTCTGTAGAGTTTTACTGAAGAAAGCATGAAATGTAAAGAGTTAGAATATTTCCCAGAAGAAACATTTGATCACTTCCATTCACTGACATCCTGGCAATTCAAAAACAAAAAATGCATTTACCTGCCCTCTGTACTGGTCTCCAGTCCCTCTACCTCTAAGATAGCCTCTCGTAGCTCCTCTCTGAGCCTCTGGATCTCCTGCAATAGGACACCTTTCCTCCTGCGAATATCCTCCAGCTCAGAGCGCTCCTCTGGGCTCAGGTCTACAGGAACTTCAGACGAAGAGATGAAGAATGAGTGCATTGCAGCACTTCTGAGAAATAGCAAACTGTGCTCAAATAATCTAGGTTAAAATCAGTCTATTCTGGGATCAAAAACTTCGAAAGAAGCTTTATCGTTAGTCAAACTTCCAACAAAATTAAAATTCATTACAGGTGAAAATAAAAATGGAATTTTATTGGAAAATCTATACAACGCGGCAGAGACAAAGTTCAGGTAAACAATAAGCATTTTTTAAACATATATTTACCTAATAAAACACACTGACAGGTATAATCAACAAAAAAACATCTGATTCTAGCTCATTACCAGCAAAACACATTTACAGCTTGAAAAATTAAAGGTGAAACAAAAGGCAAGATACAGAAAATAAAGAACAAAAGGTTTTAAACACAATTTCATTGTCAAGATAAACAGATTAACACATACTGTTTTTTAATGACCCAGTCTAATTTACATTCTGCTCTTAAACAATAGCCTTTAACGTATGCTAAAATATGCTTGTCTGGTTTAAAAAAGTAGAACCGAACAATTTTTCTGCAAAAATGAGCACATAACAAAAAGGCTTTGTTAACCTGCAGCCTCAGACTTAAAATCTCTTTTGTTTAGAATTTCACCAGTCAGCTCTGCTTCTTTAAAGAGAACATGGGAGAATTTAAACTATGATTCCTTTCTATTTATTTATGAAATCAAATGTTTATCTTTATCTAAAGAAGCCTTTAACAACTATAAAGATTATTACAACTAAATTATACCAGGTATGCATCTATTTTGTCTTAGTCTATTGTTTATTTGGATTGTGCTTTATTTATTGATAGTTCTACATCTTCTACGTTAATTGTAATGTAAAAAACGAAAAAAATTAACTAATTTATGTTAATGATAAATACATCGAAGCTAAAAAACACAACAGACTTCGAAATCCCAACTATGCCCCAGCTAGATAAAGGCCAATATGAGAAGCAGCAAACAGATGTTTTCAAAAACTACATATTTTAAAACAAAAAAAAAAATGTTTAAACCATTTTTTTTTTACCAGTTTCGCACATAAATTGATAACTATTTGTTAAAACTTGCAAATGTGGCCCTTAAGCAGCAACTTGTTGTAAGACCAGTTTATTTAAAGCCCCAAAAACAATGAGCTGCCACGCCCACAGTCTGTTCTGATGAAAAAAACAGCATGTACTTATAATTAAACCATTTAAATTGTGTTTCCTATTAAATAGTTTCGTTTTAGTATGACCTAAAATGAACTTAAAGTCTGGTTGAAATGCTAAACAGTGCACCGACATTAGCTGTTAAGTTAGCTCGGAACACTCATCAATATTTCATTAGCAGAGATAGTTAAATTGCTCGGTTTATATCCTGAATGAGGAATGAAGGAAAAACAATGTCAGAGAAAGCAGTCATCTCGCGTTTATGTATCGGGCCAGAGTTTTTGCCAACCTGTACGAATGATAAAACAGGCAACAAGCTATACCTGGCTAGCTGCGGTTAGCCACAGCAAACAACGACTTGCTAAGAGCACTTACTGTAGTCCAGGTCATCCATTTTTGGTGCTTTACTTTTAGGCATAAATAGCTCAGAGTCGACTGTCATTAAATGTTAGAATATTTGGGATATATCGGTAAATATATCCTCAAAATTACAAAAAATGAAAAAAAAAGACAGACAACCTCCCCGGTGTCGAAATGTTGGGCCGTAGACAAAGAAGGTGGCGACACAGGAGGAGGCGTCTGATACTCGACTTCCGGTCAGTTAGTTTTCAAAATAAAACCTTTTCATGCTAAATAAATAAATAAATAAGAGTGGAGTTAATTCAAATGTTATATCACATGTTTTATATAGATAGTAAAGAGGCTATTTAAAAGTAGCAACCAGAAAAGCAAACATGCAATATAAATGAATCCAGTTCGCCTTATAGTATCCACACTAAAATGCAGCACAGTTAGAGTATTGTGATAGAATTCATACCCATTTGTTTTAACATTCTGACAAAGAACAGCTAATTATTTCAATACACTTAAGCAAAACACTGTATTGCAAAGGGATTTAGGTTAAAAAGTTTGCAAGCTCTTTTATGTTTTATAAGCTTTGCAGATCATGAGCAGATCATGAGCAACATTTGCAATAACGTACTTTAACGTTAATATGCAATTACCTTCCACTGCACTTTAATTTAGATAGCTTCTGTCCAAACTTTATTTATTCATTTTATAGTAAAATCCATCTGTATATATGCTAATGTACATAACTGTAAAAACCCATTTTATATTAATATCCACCTGTATATTATATTCGGTACATATCCAGCTGTAAATTTAGATCATAACACTAGTTTTCTATATATTACATTTATCTATTAGTAAGATTCTGTTTATAATGGTATTCATTCCTATACTTATTCAGTAGAAACCCATGTCCTGTATTTATAGAACCATTATTTATCCTGCACTTGCTGCTATTGCACTTCTGGTTAGACCTAAACTGCATTTCGTTGCCTTGTACCTGTACCTGTTTAATGACAATAAAGCTGAATCTAATCTAATCTAATCAGTTTTCTTGCAATGTTGTCGTCAAACGATAAAACCCAATCAGAAGAAATTATCTCACACCAGACAAACTTACGAAGATACATTTATTTGAAACAATTTATAACCATTACCTGTACACTCAATACGCACACATTTCCATTAATTTAGTAATATTACTATTTCATTCCAAGCAGCCCATTAAAGAAAATTTTATGGCATTATCAACTCAGAAGTTGCACTGCAGCAATGTCCTGTCAACTTGGTCTAGAAAACACCATGGTCCCAGCTATGGCCACAGACAAAGCTGTTGCCCAAAAAAAAGTAAACCATCAAAACTAGGCTCCACAACATTGTGAGTAGACAATTTGGCATATTTCTGTTCAAACTGTGTCTATATTTTCCTATTTAGTGATAGCAAAAGCTTAAACTCAAAATGTTGTACTCCCATTCTGTAAATATGAAAGCATAGTGTAAAAACTGTACTGGACTACTGGCATTGTGCACTCAAAGGTGGAGAATAAACTTCCTGGTAAGCAAACAGATCATTTTCAACAGCAGTAATTACAAGCTTTTTTATACAAAGGCATTGATTAAAAAAATACAGTATGCTGATGGAGATCGTTGCAGTTGGCACATCTTCTGATTGACATATTGCACATGCTAATGATTCATCTTCAGACGAGGCAGCAGGTTCTACAGTAAGAAAACTGAGTTCTATAAGACAATTCAGGCTCAAAAACTGTTTCATTTGAATTAATTAGCTCAAAAACTATACTTATCAGCAAGTTTTAACTGTAAAAGACAGTAATTTAACAGCCTCTTTCTGCAGCTGGTTTATTTCTTCAAGTTCAAGCTGGTATTTTAAACCCATTTCCCCACATAATCAATCATTTGATCCAAAAATATATCATTGCTTTATTTTAGTGTTGTCTTCTTTTTAGTCTCTTATGTTTTTTAAACTGTCAGTTATACCTTTCATACCTTTAAGTGTTCAAAATCCAACAATTTATAAAGCAATGTGACTTGGTTCATAATTTCTGTACATGGCAAGGTATTCTATTTTTTGTTTTTTTACTCTTTCCTTGGTTGTATTTAATAGTTTCTATGCATCGTAATTTACTGCTTCAAATCCACTTTCTGTGCACCATTGCTAAATCAACTGAGGCATCTCATCCAACTACGCTTTCTTCCACTTGTTCTTAAAGCTGAGGCCTAAGGCAATGATTATGTTTCAATAACAAAGTGGCTAAAAGCAGTGAGAAATCAGCTAGCTTTGTTCAGGCATTTCTATGTTCAACATGTTGCAAACACCAGTATCACTGACATCAGCAGCAGCGTGCATCCACTGGCTAAAACAAGCAGGCAGAACGCAAGTGTCAGTAAGGGTTAGCAAACAATCCAGAAAAGTCTTTTTGTCTTTTTTTGTAGCTTAAAACCAACATACTTAAGAGTTTGATGGGTTTAGACATTTTTTCTACTGTTGACTAATTAGAGAGTGTTTAAAAAATAACAAGGAGATTAAAAAAATAAGGAGATTAGTAAAACTGGAATTATTAAGAATTATTTTAATACTTTAACTATTTCCTAGTTGGACTGATTAAAGGATTTGTTTGTTGCGTTTTCTTTTCATTAACTGTCAATATATACCAAGCAGTGGGCAACTAGTATCCTGATTTAGCATAAAGCTAGATTAGTCAGGGCTAACAGCTGAGGCGAATGGGAAGCCCAAGATCAGCCAAGATCAAAGTGGACTTTCTGAAAATCTCAGATTACAAAGATGTTTAAGTTTTTTGTTTCACTAAACGTATCAACTAATACCAGGTTTGCTTTGAAAAGCTATCTGGACAAAAACCTCCAATTACAAAAAAAATACATAAGATGGTGCATCCTAAATAATTTTCCAGCATGAAACATTATCTTGGAACAGAACCTTGACAGATATAATCCACATGGTGTAAATCCGAGAAATAACCTTAACTTAAAGCACTCTCATAAATTTTTGAACCCCCTCTTGATTTATTTAGGAAAGTTTCTCTGATCAGAAATGTTTTAGTTGTCCTGAAAAAGGAATAAATTGATAGCACTCCATCTTTGACCCCAATCTCATGTGTGATTAACCATGCCTTTCTGTCTATACAACAGTCTAAAGTAAACCTTATGACAGTTAAAAGAGCTTTCTTGTTTTTATTTATTATATTCTTTAGTCTGAACTTTTTCCACCCAGTAGAAGTCCACTTTGAAACAGGCTCTGATTGGAGCTCCAGTTTTAGCCTCAGAGACCAAATCGACTTTATCCATATAAAAGAAACTAGAGGATTTGTCAAAAACATGTTAAGAGTTAAAATGCTTATAGCCTTTTAACATATTACTTTAAAAAAATCCTGAAATCTCTCTCTATCACTGTTTAGACTTAATATATAAGAGAATTAACACAAGTGCATCTGAGCTGTGCACTGACAGATAAGGCATTACTTTAAGGAGAAAAAGTTTTTATCTTTTCATTGCCGAACATGTGGAGGCGAGAGTCCAGAAAGAATCGCAGATTAGAGTATTGCAGTATTTTTTTTCTGCTCCAGAACTGTTTTATCTTGAATATTAACTTTATTTCTCATTGTCTAAGTGTAAGGCAATACCTAGTTAATGCTTCTCTGCATGCATACATTGTACACATTCAACTCATGCATCAGCTCCAAAAACCCCAAAAACATTCAATTAGTATTGTTATTCCTTCTTTTTATCTAGACTGTGCAGCTCCCCTTCCCCTTCCTAACGTGATCCAACACCTGTGCAACAAAGCGCATTTTTAAAATCATCTGTATAAAAAAAAAAAGTTTTCTTCAATTTAGTATTAATCCCCGCAGTCATCCCTTTCATTATTGCCTACAAAATCTGATTCTTGCAAATAAGACTAGTGTCTCAAACAGCCAACTGTATGGTTCTCTCTTTGTGGGCATAATGGCAACAGAGATAATTCATTAGAGTATTGATATGTGGATAGATATAAGCTTAATAATCCCTCGTCAAAGTCTGGTAATTTTGACACCAGTGTCTCCAACAATGAGACGGGCCATGGCGGGATGAACCTGTGAAAGATCAGAAAAAGATTAGTACAGATTACACAGTGTAATGTAACCATTTAAAGTACCAAAACCAATTAAATAATAGTTAAATCAGAAATAATCTATTTGTGAACGCATTCATTTCACTAAATTGTATTCTAAATTTCCTCCTCCGCAGTTCTGCACCAGATCAGTGTGATCAATCATAGAAATCACTTCATATATATAACATGACAAAGTTATGTACTGTGACTAACAGGCACTGTGTAGTGATCTTTCTAACCTGCGCTTGGAGCGGACCATAGGGCACAAGTTCCCCATCCACAGTTAGTGTTCCCCGTGTAGACAGCGGCTGCAGCCTGAAGGCCTTGCAGGTTACGTGGCTCACGTATGGCGAGCTGACAGTGTGGTGGGTTCCTTTTTCCATGGCAAAGAACAGTCTGAGTAGGGTGGCTCTGGAGATGCCTGCCCGGACAAAAGTCAGGTGGATCAGGCCATCATCAAATCTGGCCTGAGGTGCAGCATGGAGATCAGCCCCAAGGTGGGACTGATAAAGGGCCAAGACTAGGACAAAATCCCCTTCAATGGTGACCCAGTCTCTGGTGGGGAGGGGTTGATCAAGAGTCGGCAACAAGTCGTCTCTTGGTATATCAAAAGGCAGCGTGACAAACGGACGGTTCTTTAGAGAACCTGCTGGTTCGGTCATGTCAAAGTCAAAAGACGAGGACGGCGTACGGAACGAGGGAGAGCTCAGGGTCGAATTAGGGGTGTTTGGACGGGGGGCGAGGTAGGACGATGAGTGTGGGGACGCACAGGAAGGAGACGATGGTGGTGTGGGAGAAAAAGAGGGGGGAGTCATTTTAGGGGGAAGGGAATTGGAGCTGGAGTGCTGGAGGAGAGAGTGGGGTCTTGGACGGGAGGCATTATGGTTTTGGTCCAGAGCTTTCTGCTTGTAGGAGAAGGGATTGGGACGGAAGGGAGAGGAGATGGTGAGCGATCGCTCACGAGCCACATCCAGAGGGTAAGAGTGTTTCTGGAAGTAGGTTTCATTCAGATCCATGTCCTCCATGCCGTATGAGATGCCAGAATCTCTGCTGGCTTCTTGACTGAGAGGCTGGCTCAGCAGAGTCTCGGCTATCTGGCTTGAAGGAGCAGAGTTCTTTCTTACCATCTCTCTGGCTTTCTGAGGACCGTCCTGGCAAGCAGTGACATCTCCAGGCTCTTCTTGTGCCTCTCTCCCCATGTCCAATCCATAACTATCCCCCAATTCCCTCGCACGCAACACTCCATCTGCCTCTAGGGAACCACCACTGCCTTCCTCATCTCCCCCATCGTCAACCTCCAACATTTCACAAGAGTCTTGCTCCGATGTTTCCTCATCTTCCCTTTCATCCTTAATCCCTGCCAACCTTTCGTCTCTTCCCATACTGGCTTCATCCCTTTCGGTTGACTCTGAACTTGTTCCAGACTTCTCTGAACAGGTTCCAGACTTCTCCTCTTCTGCCTCCATCTCCATCTGCCCCTCCCTTTCTCTGTCTTCCGCTAAACTGCTAGCTCTCACCACACCTGCTCCTTTTCCTCTCCCCCTCTGTCTTCTCCTTGTCCTCTCTCTTTGTCTCTCCTCTTTTTCCCTCTCACCATCACCCCTGCGCAGAAGGCTCCTCTGCTCACTGATGCCCATATCGGAGCAGGTGCGATGGATAGGCATTTTACAGAAGCCCTCCAGTCCCTCTGTAATGCTGCGGGAGAGAGGCCGTCTAGGTGGAGGTGTCCCATTTGAAGATGTGGTAACAACAGGAGGAAGGTAAGATAAACGGCCCTTGTACGATCGAAGAGAAGCTATGCGCACCAAGGTGCCCAAAGTGAAGCGGGCTGAGCCCAAGCCACGATACCTGGAAAAAAACATAAAAAACTTAACTTAATTTCTGATGTCTTCCATCCTAAAGAACTTTCCCTCATATTTGTTGTCATGTTTAAACCACAAATTCATTTTACTTGAATATTATGTGACACAGAAACACCAAGCAGCCTATATTGGTCACGAAAAATAATCATTATCCCATAAAATTTGCAAAATTTACATAAAGTTTTTCATGCAATTTGGCAAAACGAAGAATTCAGGGGCATCACTGCTAAATAACTTCAGATTTACACAACACACACCTCTCACTTTCGATGTCGACATCAGACACAAAACCCCAGGCCACAGAGAGGAAGGAGAACAGTCTCCTAGGAGCTGCAGCATGGCTGTTTTTGGATGGAAGAGGGCTCGTTGTGACAGACACTAGGTCCATGGGTCGCACTCCGCCTCGACAGAGCAAGAAGCAGCAGTTCAAGAGAAGCGGCTCTCGAAGGCACATGTCATACCTGAGGAAAGGGGGACAAAGACGAAAAGCAATCAACCTATCTTTCGCAGGAATGGCTTCAATTAACAAGGGAAATACTAGGAGATATATGACCAGTTCAAACGGTTTATCCACCACTAAGATTTAAAAACACGTCCTTCAGACTTCCCTTCAAACACCCATTCCTGCTTTTTTGCTTGCAGTTAATATCCAGATCCCGACTTATTGCCACTGCTCTCCTCACCCTGCATAATGGTTGATTGAGCCAGCCAGTGCATTTCCAGAGCCGCAGGGCAGAATCCCAACAGGAGTTTTTATTGCTTGTTCCCAGTCTGGACGCTCCATCAGTCCGTTAATAACCTACAGAACCACAGAAAACATGAGGAAACCTCCGTTAACCAAAAGCTGCAAATAAATTGAATTGTGCTCCACCTTGCACCAAGAGTACCTTACCTCATGCAGCAGGCCATCTCCGGAAACAATGATGATGCCGTCCCATTCTGAGAGCGGTATCTCTCTGATCAGCTCTCTTGCATGGTTCTGACGTTCTACAACAGATTATTGAAGGCACCACCTTTTATAAGCTAACCAACACCATTGTTCCTTACAAAGAATCCTTCCAGGGTCATTACCTGTCTGTATGAGGTTGTAGCTGATGTTGGCCTCTCTAATCATTGGCAGGATGTGGGTCTGACACCATTGCATTGCTTGGCCTCTTCCGCTGAAGGGATTGACCAATAACAGTAGTCGCCTGGGACGAGGTAGCAGACTTCTTGAAAACTCTGACAGATTGAGAGGAGACAATGTTGTCAGGTTAAATACTGAGGTGCAGAGTTTCAGAAACTACATTAAAAGCCTTGTACTTTTTGTAAATATTTTATCATATCTACACGGATAACCACCAGAACAGAGGCCTATTTTACAAAAGCTGGATACAGAGATTCAAGTATGATGATGCCAGGCTCCACAGGCACATCTACGTCAAACCAGGTGTAAGCAATCATGTTAAACCCTGCAGCTATTTTCCAACAGTCCTCAAGGTTGATCGCACATTGACTGATTTGGCAAACAAAGGGGGATCGACTAAATGTTCAAACAGCCTAGATTATTCATTCACATTCACTAACCCCTGCTCTCTATTGAAAACGTCATAACAGAAAAAGTAACCCGTCATTTTTCTCAACTTAACAGTGAAAGCTGATTGTAACCAGTGTTGACATTACCATTTATATTATACTTATATTATTGTATTACTCTTTTGCCCCAGCATTTCTTCTCTCTGTGGTGCAGTACTTTAAGACTGGAATGTAGGATACTTAAAAATTACGGTTGCCAACTCGTTGAAAACAAAATTACTTCTCAGCCAGACACTGTTTTCTATGTTATGGACATAAATCTTTATATGCATTTTCTTCTGAGAGCAAATTTATTTAGTAAACATTTGACACAAACCAGGATGTCTTTTGACACATAAGTTTGCTCTAAATATGAGACCAATCCTTTTTTTCAAAGGATTGTTGGCAACCCCATCTGGAATTGAATCCTGGGTACATCATGAATGGCAGCTAGAACAAAATATTGTCAACCTGCAGATATGATTTATCACTTTTCTTTTGTCAATATTTATAAAGAACTAATATGATTAGACCAAAGAGGGTCTCGCAGCAGGTCAAGAGGAAATATAAGAACAGACTCCTAGTATCTAGATGAAATGTTGACTATAATTTACGGATGATGTGTCTTAATAAAAGTTGCCTGCACACATATTTGATCCTCTTACTTATCTTAAGAGCTCAAAAAGACTTGTGTCTAAACAGCGGGTGGCCAACCATCTCAACGATTCTAAGATTTTCAGCATATCTTTCTACATACAGGAACTAGAACATACCAGTAGCAGTAAATCTGAGCACAACACAGATCATCTGTGAAACTGTCAAGGCTCTATTATAAAGCCGAGGTGTCAGTTCAAGGGAATGAACTGAATCATCCAAATTCAATCAGAGGCTCATCTATCACTGAAGCAAGCCGATCAAAGTTGGACTGGACCTCCTCAAAGCCCAATCATCATTCAGAGTCCAGATTAAAAGACTTTAAAATAAACACCTCAGTCTGCTGCACAACCAAGCTCCTGCAGAGCTGGCTGGCTATGTCAGCTTTTGACTCAGATGAACAGGATTGAACTCTCCTCCACCCCCTCTCCCATCTTCGTCACCAAGCTTCATCTGGCTCCTCCTCTATGCTGCTCCCCATTCGAGTGATACGTCTGGAATCACAATGCAGTTATGAGGCATCCCCAGTCGATGAGCCATGTTGTACCTGGTTTGGCCTGAGGTTCCTTACATAAGGGGAGTATTTTTTTCTCTCCACTCTCCTCCTATGCTTGCTCATCATGGAGGTTTGTGCAAACCTGTGCCTTATTCTAGCTGGCAGCCATCTTCCAAGTCTCAAGCTCTCCAAGTGAACCTCCAGCATCAGCCTGACACAAATCACTGGGTTTCACCATGGAAGCCAAAGCAGATCCCCTCATCAACCTGCAGTTATATAGAATGAACCATTGTTCATCCCATCTCCGTTCCATTACCAGTTTTAGGCCTTGAGGAGATTAATCCCTGTTCTCATTCATCAGCTCATGCCAATAATCAAAGTTTCCTGCAGAGATCTGAGCACCAAAGATATAAAATATTGTTCAGAAAAAATTTAAACCATGTCCAGTGGATTGTTTTTAATTTTTTCGGTATGACTATGACCTGGATGACTGAGAACCTTCACCAGTATAAAATATTGCATTAATAAAACTCTTCTAATTGCTATCTTTCTTTGTGAGTTTTCTTTTTTTCAGGTTGCAGTGATGCTGAATTTTGGGAGCCAGCAGTCTGCACATGTAGCAGATGTCATCCACAGGAAACTGGTAACAGTCGTGCAGGTGAATATTCAGGGAAAAGGCTCAAAAATGTACCATAAATCAGCTTCTTTCACGACCTGACTTTAAGGACACCACCTTTGCTTCTTTATCAACAATTTTCTCTTTTCCCTTTGACACAGCAAAAGGTTATTGAGGCCTTTCTGCCAAATTAAGATTGTTTTAAAAAACAATCAAATCAAATCAATCAAACATCCACCTAGAAGATCCTAAGCTGAATCAAGGTATAGGGCACCGTAATGATCTTAAAAAATAATTACAGTACTTCAGTAATTACTGTTTTGTAAAGGAAGGCTGATTACAAATAATAAACACAAAGAAAACTGAATCACTGACAAAACTCCCTGGTTGAATAAATGGAGCCTTTTTAAGGTATGAAGGGAACAGGGCTTATTTACAACAACATAAATCAGGTTAGTGAGACACTTCACAATTCACTAGAAGGCAGTAATGTCTAAATGTTTGATGCCATCTCCCAAAAATCCTGAAAAGAAGAAGAGCTTCTTGTTTTTTGACATCTGCTGACCGAGCAGATATGACCCTAGGTTTGAGTTAGCCTTGTTTTTAGCAGGCTAACTGCACAGAATAAATCACTGGGCGAACTTATCCGTTACTGCTGTCTTGAAACTGGTCTTACATCCTTATGTTGCTTTCCGGGAATAGGCCTCTGGTAGCAGACAGCAACATAACAGCATCTCTCTGACTTAAAATGCAATGCCAATCTGTATTAAATATCAGAACATCGATTCCAACAGTAATATTAAATCGAAGAACAAAGAGGGAAAGGAGCAGCATATTTCAATGATCCCAAATATGAAAAGATAAGCAGTGAAACTTTGTTGAGATGGGGTAAATTTACTTCTAAAGTAAAAGGAAGTTAACAGGATACAAAGAGAAAAAAAGAATCCTTTAAAAACAGCGAGCTATAAACTCTTATCTGTTTGATAACCAAGTCTTATTAGTAAGGCAAAGGGAGAGAGTGGCATGCTAAGGAACCCTTACCCTTAACCAAATATTATATAACATTATATGCTCTAGATTGTTCCTATAATCTGCAAATATATGCTCTAGACTGCGAGTGCAAAACAAAGTTTTTAATGGTTCCCTCAGACCTAAAATGAGTCGGCTAAAAATACAGGAAGGTCCTCGGCCGCTGTGACATTCAGCTATAATTAGCAAGAATCCTCAAAGGAGGCGCCAATCAAAGAAAAGAAACAGCATAATGTGAAGTTTAAAGCTAATTCCTGGAGCGAAACAAAGGTCATAAGGTACATAACCTTCAAAGACAAAGAACTAGGATTTATTAAATGGTCCTCTTTAGACAAAGCATTTAAAAAAAATCAAAGATCTTAATGGACACAGAGAATATCACTGCCATTTGGGGGTAGACTTAAAAATCAATGGTCGACCTTTAATACCCACTAACTTTATATACATTTACCACTGAATATTTTAGGTTTGAATCTACAATTATCACTGTATATTTTAATTATACTTATTTATAAAAAATTAAGCCAGTGTATAGTCTTCTAGCCTTAAAAAAATCTAATTGCTATTGAACATTTTAGATTTAATATATCAAATATCCCTAATTAATTTTAGCACTCATCATAATTTAGTATCAACTCAGCAATCTCCAAAAAAACTTTGTAAGAAAATAAAAAATTCAGATCAATCAGTAACATTCAAGTTAGATTTCAAAAATAGATTTGTACAGTCTCCTTTTAATGAAACATTGATGTTTAAAATACAGGGGCCTTAAACAGTACTGTCTATAAAATATCTACTATTATGGTTCGAATGATCTGAGGCTCAGTTTGGATAAAAAAAGGCTAGAAGTGAAAAAGACACTGACCTGTGTAAGCAGTGACGGGCACTTCTCTGAGCAAACACTGAACAGCAGCCGACCACCTCTCAGCTTCAAGCCTGCTTTCTGCCAGGTAGGCCTTCACCTGCCTGCGTCTGGACACTCCCTTCCTTCGTTTGCCTGGAGGGTACCAGTAGAGCACGAGCAGCGGCGGTGCAGGAGAACGAGGACAGCTGCAACCGACCAGTTCAGACAGAGGGAGCAGGAGACGGGAATCCTTTGTGGGCCGTGGCGAGAGGCGCTGGATGTGGATATGGGTGTGGGTGAGGGTCAAAGCGTAGTTAGACGATGAACCTGGAGAGGTGGTGGGGGAGAGGCTTCCTGAGCCTCCTGGGCTGTCGGGGCAGCTGCCGCTGCTATTGTTGTTGTTACTGCCAGATCCCCAGCTGGCAAACTGACCATGAAGGAGGGCTTCTTCTGGAGAAGGGGAGCAGGGTTCTGGGGAACGCATCTTGGCTTTTACAGTGGAAGATGTCTGCCAGTCTGAGCAAGCAAACAGTACAAGCCTCTGCAATCAGGAGCTTAGTGAGCGACCGGGTCTTCAGGATTTGCAAAGAATAATTAAAAAATATCTGAAAAGAACTTCATCCCTGAAATCACTTAAATTCATTCTTCATGTAAATTGGCAAAAAAAAAAAACAATAAAAACCTTCTGTTTTAGTGAGTCCTTTTCTGATTGGGTCTTCATTTGAACAGTTAACTTCTTTAAGTATAAAGAGACATTTGTTTCCAGAAATAATCCAGTGAAGATGAAAAAAACAAAATAAAATCACAGTTTGATATGAACAGGTGTCAGCTTCTACACTTTCCTGCAAAAATCTGTGGCTTAGACACAGAGATCATTAAAACGTAATTGCATAAGTTTAAAAAGGTTTACATTTCGTTTTAAAGCTGCCATTTCTTATAGAAAATCAAGGCAGCAGAGCAGTTAACCAGTATGCTTTAAATAATCACACAAAAGGAACAAAACTAAACCTCTTAAAAGGAGGAAATCATACATCAATAAAGCCTGAATAAGAAAAAATCCAAAACACACCTTCTCTACGAAAGGAGGCCAGGATCATCAAAGTAATGTGCAGCGATTCTTTAAAGTATGTTGCATTACAAGTGCAGCCTGCAGTGTGATGAATGTCCAAAGGAGACGATAAGTGAAGCTTTTTCAAGACCTTTGAAACTTCTATTGCTATCTGAAACCTCTGGGAGACGCACGACACGGACCGGAGGAGTGACAAAAATTACGTTTTTTCAGGACAGTAGTGTTATAAATTAAGAATTCTGTAGTAGAAAAAAAAAAAACACTTCTCCAAATGACACTCGACAAAAAATACAGAGAAAAAGCAAAGCAAACAAACAAGGATAGAGTTCCAGGTGAGTCCTTAGTTTATGTCATCTTAGAGTCCTTTAGTGAAGCCTGAGGAGTCACGTTCCCTCCCAAACATCTCTGTTCCTGTAAGAACAGAAAGCAAAGTTAAAAGTCAGGAGTTACCAAAGTGATCCTGGTATATTCTTTTTAAAATAATGTTTAAAAAAACTTCTTATTCACCAAGCTAACAGTATAGTTTATTTCCATAGGACAATATCTCAGTTCTATCAATCAGAGTCTTGCAAGGCGGTACTCTGATAAGCAGAAGAGATTATAGTCAGAGCATGAAGCAACGCCACATCGCTCACGCCCCTTGACCTTAGGTGCGTCTGGGCTGCAACTGACTCACAGTCACACATCCTTAACCAGCCTCGCTGAAACACATTACTTTGCATGAAAAACTGCAAATGCCTGCAGCTTGTAAGCGTTTACATACTCTTTTGTTCCTTTGCGCTCAGGGGGTTAGAGAAAAGTGTCCTCTGTCACAGTCTGAATCCTGAATCCTTCACTGCAGTGCTAAGATTTGCTTTATGAAGCAACATGTATCTGATTTTTGCAGCCACAAAAATATGCCAATTGTTGAGACACCACCACGTATTGGGCAAAAAATGACAATGCAATATCATTGTGGAAAAATTTCCATGACATCAGCAGTTGGCAGACTATCATTTCCGATCATGAACACAATACCCTCAGCACTTTCTTTCAATTGGCACAGTTCAAAGACATGACACTAAATATTTTAACCCAACATATACTGTCTACCTTTACTGCACACATGGATTTAACGATAGCAAGTGCAAATGTTATATTGTGAAACCACAGCACTGATACAGAAATGGTCATTATAGTTATCTTATGTTGTTAAACACTTTGCCCCTTGATATGGAAGACCAAGACTGCCATGATTCACTATACAATTAGATTGGTTAATAAATATTCATATTGGTTAAATAATGAATAAAAACTAATGCATCTTCATTGTATATATTATTTTACATAAAACATACTTATTTGAACTATTTTTTAGTGAGGCGCTGCTAAAATGATTAGTTTATGTTGGCGTGACCTACGGCACTACAGAGGTCATCGGTTCTGAACCTCAGCTGCTGACAGATTATATTTTACATTTCTTCAGGAACCATAGTGACAATGTCAATCACTTCCTGATAGACTGATAGCACAAAAATGGTTTAGACATTTAATAACTATTCATAATTTAAACACAATGGGCCGGATTTATCAAGATCCAATTTTGCGTGCAGTAATTTGCGCTCGCAAACTGGAATTTTGCGCGAGGGGCTGAACCATGGTTTGCGGGTGATTTAACAAGAGTGATTGCGTAACTGGTGGAAGGTGCAAAACTGTTGGAGACGCCCTATTTAAATGATGGTTTTGCGCGTTTTGTGGTTTGCGGCAAAGTAGTTTGTAGTCGGTACAAACTACTAGTGCATTAAGAAATTTAAATCTTACAGTGACCCCCAACAAAAAAAAAAAAAATATATATATATATATATATATTTTTTTTTTTTATATATATATATATATATATATATATATATATTTATATATTTGCAACCTTTATTCCCTAAGGTGGTATGTGCCTGTGACTGTGGATGAGATCCCCGCAGCATTGGCACGTTGCTCCAGGCGCAGGGGGAGAACCCTGACCCCGTCGGACAGCACTTCTGAAAAAACGAGATTGGGAGATCCCAGCTCTCGCTGCAACTGTACGCTGGAATGACCCAAATGCAAAAAAGTGCAATGTTGCAAGGAATTTTGTGATATCTGGTATTGCGTGGGTCCTCCTTGTGGCTGGCTCCAAATCCATTCGGAGTTCCCCCAACAGCTCCAAAATGGCAATGCTGGATAAACGATATGTTTTGATGATCGTTTCCTCGTTCATTCCAAAAATATTCACACGGAGTGAAAAAATGCGTTCTCTGCGTCTCCTTGCTTCATTTCGATGTCTCCTTCTTGCGACACTCCGCTGCCATGTGTGCGCAATTACGCATACAGACCATTTGCACCTTCTTTTGAAACGTGTTAAATATAGAGTCAGATAGCGTTAGCAAAATTGCTTTCAGGTTTGATAAATCTCTTTGCGAGTGCTAAATTAATATATTTACATGTTCTCCTCCCACAAGACGCACTTTTGCGTGTAAACGCCCCATATTGCATATTCATTGCAGAAAAAGTACTAAATGGATAAGAGGCGCTATTTAGCACGTTTAAAAGATCAAATCCTTTTAAATCCGTGTATCATTCGTTCTTTCCATTTTCAATTGCCAATCAAAAAACAAAAAATCAAAAATTGACTGGAATCCGTGTATCATTCGTTCTTTCTATTTTCAATTGCCAATCAAAAAACAAAAAATAAAAAATTGACTGGTTATTTTGTTATTTGTTTTTTATGGTTAAACCAAAAACGAAAAAAGGATTTGTTTTTCATATATCAATTCTAAGCTCAGATCAAGAATACGAAATGGAAAAACGGACAGCAACGCAGAATTTGATTTTAATATTTAATCGGTACAGTTTACATGACCCGGAAGTTTGGTGGAGCGTTAGCTAAAAAAACAATTGGCTTACTCCCACCACGTTCGATCAAACTGCACCAGATAAGGCAGTCGGACCTATCAGCCATGGACAGTTACGTTTTATTTCGAGGATCCAAGCGTGTGACTCTTGAGGAGGACATGACAACGGAGAAAATTTGCAGGATTTTCCAGGTATAACTTTTTTTCTTGAAACTTTTCTGTGCACTGTACTTTTAACTAGCAACAACAAACAGCTTCTCGATCAACATAGTGTGTGGTTCTAGCGTCGCCATGGTAGCCACTTCATTACCCCAACTGCTGCGCAAAGAGCTATTTCCGGGTCACGTAAACTGTACCGATTAAATATTAAAAACAAATTCTGCGTTGCTGTCCGTTTTTCCATTTCGTATTCTTGATCTGAGCTTAGAATTGATATATGAAAAACAAATCCTTTTTTCGTTTTTGGTTTAACCATAAAAAACAAATAACAAAATAACCAGTCAATTTTTTATTTTTTGTTTTTTGATTGGCAATTGAAAATAGAAAGAACGAATGATACACGGATTTACACGGATTCTTTTAGCACGCTGTTGATAGATCAGTTTGTACATTTTTTAGCGTGCGCAGTGAAATAGCTCACGTTTTTATACACGCACACCTTTGATAGATCCGGCCCAATGAATTCAAACTGAAACAAATGGCATAAGCAACCGTTTCTTTATTTATTAAACTGTAAAATAGTATCAAAGCATTCAATTGAAGCGTGTCAGCAAAAAAGTTAAAAGAAAGTATATTGGTTCACAGACGATTATATAAAGAAGTACACAAAATCCCAAAATTTAAATTAATACTACCCAGCAAGTAAAAGCATTTGCAGACTTAATATGTTTTTGTGCCATTTTTGTTGCTTCATACAAACAACTTTTGCATCTGTATCAAACTATTTTATATAACAGCAAATAGTGGTGTTAAATAGTGCTCACCAGGATCCTGATTATAATACTTTCATTAAGAATATAACTCCTGGAGTATTTCTGTTAGGACTTTATTACTAGGAACTGATAAATGGGTCTGGAAACAAGCAAAGGTATTCTGAGTTATTTGAATCATCTAAACAAAATGATTTCCTTGTTAATCCAATGAAAAGAAACAACAGCTGTGGTGGAATATGTCCATCGTTTCAGCATTATCAGACTATTTTATACTGTAGAAATACACTATAGGGGATATTGTAACATATGCATGCATTGCTCTGGAAAATTCCTTATTCCCCATTAGCATTGGTTCTAACCTATAAAATCTAAAAGCAACTTCCAGCTTCCTACCGCAGTCACATGACGTTGGGTACGTTTTGATTTGCGATGGCATCATTTCGAAAGTGGAGGTCTGCCTGGTCAGCAGCTGTGACAATACCAGCTGATTTAATAAGCTAAGTTCATTATCGGTCACTAAAAGTAAAGTGTCACATTAACTTTTATACTTCAACAGAATATGCTAGATTAATTGATTATTTTGTATATATTTTTTGTTTAACCTCTTAACATCAACCTCATTTTGGGAAATTCTCGTCTATTTTGCTTACCCTAATGGAAAAGCAAATAACTTAGTAACTGTAAGCCCAAATTACATGTGCAATACATTATTTAAAAGCTAACACCCTCTAGTTTCTGAATATATAAATTAAAATTAGGCGAGTAGCACACAGACCAAGCTGCATCAGTTCAAACATGAGTCAAAGTTGTTTTTTATTCTCGGAAATGATAGGTCATTTTTGAACAGAAGTAATAAAGACATGCTTGAGAAAAAGCAGGTCTCATTGTATTACATTTGTTCTACATCATCATTTACAAAATCTTGTGTTTTAATGTCACATCAGGAAATTAAGAATGAAACTAAGAGTAAGAAAATCCTTTAAAAATGGTCCTGAAATATTTTAAATGTTTTTATAACTCATATGAAAAATGGACTATGCACTATAAAAATAAGTCAAACTAATTGCAAATGGGACAAACAGGATGAATACAGGAAGTGGCGGCCTAGTGGTTAGGGCATTGCGCTTTTATCGCAGAGGTTCTGAGTTAAAGCCCTATTACCACGGACTGACACTCTGGGTCCCTGAGCAAGACCCTTTAACCCACACCGCTCTCTGGGTACCGCACAATGGCAGCCCACCGCTCCCCAAAAGGATCAATTAAATGCATAGAATGAATTTCATTGCTTTGTACTTGTGACAATGTAATGAAAATAAAGTTTAATTCTAAAATTCTAATTCTAAAAAGCATTCAAGATATAAACACACTGGAAATGTGTTGCATCTGAAAGATAATGGAAATTCATCATGGATTTCCTTTTATATATTAATCAAAAATCCTATTTCCTGAATTATCAGCAGCTATTTGAGCTTTTCTCTGAAATATATTCAGTTTTAATATTAAAAATGTTCTTCAACCAAAATTATATTGAGTAATGCCACCAGAATAATGAGCCTTAAGAGTTTTATCAAATCTTACCAATCTAACAAAAGCTACAATACAGATTTCTGACACTAGGTGGACTTTTCCTGAAGAAATGTGATCCATGCAGTTCCATTAGTTTGTTCACACTTCCTTGTAGGTTGTTGTACAATGAAATTTTTTTTGATGGGTTAGCTGAAGTAGTTCAGGGACAACTTTAAAATATAGTCAATGCTAGGATTTCTTCAGGCAAAAATGAGCTACGTTCAAAACTAACAATTTAACAATCTTAATTTGATGATTTTCAGGCTTTGAAAACTTCTTTTATCATATTAAATAAGCTGAAAGAAACATTTCAGCATGGATTTTCCTAAAATATCTACTATTATAAAAGACATAAGGTTGCCTTGGGAAATAAATAAATACAAATTATATTTCTGTTAATTTTTATTGTTTTTATAATAGTGTGTTCTCATGTGATTTGCAAATAAGTGTACATCTGTTAAAGTGAAGCAAAATTATGTTTTAACAGGTAAAAATAAAAAAGTGAAGTGCATTTGTGTTTAGACGTGGTAAATCAATATGTTGTGGGGCCATTTTTCTGTTTTTTTGTTAGGATTTGATTTGAATTTTTACAAGGGATCGAATTTCTCTCTGATTGTTTCCATTTATAGTAAATAATATTAAGTAAGCAGAGTAAAGGGGACTGAATATAATTCCAAACAGATAATCACATAAAATGTAGATTAAATATTTATTTGCATTGATGTGTATGTTTTAGTCATAATAATATATTTTCAAGGCAATTAACATTTAAAAGTGTAATTCTAGTAAGTAACTGAGCTTTGAACTGTAAAAAATGACTGAGAGCCTTTATTTGAACCTGTTTTAAGCACTCAGACTGAGATCAACCTTGTCACATCTGTTTTCCGAGCTCTGGAAAAGTCTGGAAACATTGTGCAAGCAGAAAGGCAGACAAAACCAACAGTTGGCCGATGTCCTGATCTGATTAAAGCCGCAGAAATGCACCTCACTGATGCCCATTGTTGCATCTTACGTCCTTGAAGTGCAGGGCGGGGACAGGAATAATAACACCAGCAGGCTCAATCTGTCCCCCTAAACAAAGACACTACTGTAAGGAAAAGCGGAGAAATCCACCGTTTGGTTCATTTCATAACGACGGGAGGAAAAAACGTGTTTTACAAACTTTAAAGAGGTATTTTAAACCCTTAAAGGGGACTTTAGGTATCCGTAGCTTTACATGGAAACTTTGATCGATGCTGACCACCTAACCTAGCTAGCCTAATTGTTAGGCAGGTAACTTCATCTTTAAATTTTCAACTGATGAAAAAAAAAAACTATTCGATAGCGTATAAATAGCTGAAAGCCTGTCCATATTATAGATTTAATGATAAACGCTCACAGATGCGCCCCCAGTTTAAGGTTAGCTAGTCTGAACTGTCAGCTGTCAGTTAGCAGAAGCCAGCGGTTAGTCGCTTCAGATCAAGTTCAACCAGATTTGCATTATCTAATGTAAAAAGAGCCGATAAGTTAGTGATTTACCGATAAGTCCTACTTTACAGTAACAAGTCAAACTGTTGGTTAAGATGTACACAAACTAGCCTGTTAGCTAGCGAGCGCTGTGATTTATTAACCAGACAATAAAAAAGATTTTGCTTTTCACGTTTTTTAACCCACATGGATTTATAGAGGCTAACTGAAAGCACAAAGCATTTCCAAGACAAAGTTCAAATTACCTCATCCTGTCCTCGTCTTCGGGACTGTAAAAGTGCCTTGGAGCAGGAAGCGTGTGGAGCCGTGGCAGCTGCTGCTCTGAGCGGCGGAGAGGAAACCCAATGACGGCAAGGAAAACATCGGAACACCCACCGACATTCTCCAATCATCAGCACCACGCCACTTCCGGCTCCAGTCATTTGTTATCGGACCAACCGATGAAGGCTCATCCAAAGACAATCACGGTACAATGAGAAGCCCACAGCCTGGAGTATTTTTGGAAGTTTATTCATCTCCTAAAAATCCACCCATTCTTGAACTTTAACAGCAAAGCACAGACACTTGTTTTTTTTGGACAGCCAATCATTTTATTAATCAGATTGCATGAAAAGCAAAAACAGACTAGTTCTTGTAACCACGGCTGCTTCTGCGACCACGTGCTCTCTCGAACTTCCTGCCCTTGGAGCGTACATAGGGCCTAAAGAAGAAATAAAATTATATTAGATAATATAAAATTATCGATCAAAACACATTTAGGGCAGATCAAAAGTTCAAATCAAACAGTGAAAAGTGACTCTTGAGGCACCTGTCAATACATCCCCTCCACAGAGTAAAGAAAACACTAAGTTATTAGTTTTATGATTTTTTTTTTTTATGTTATGATTAATTTGCTTCAGATTTAATAAGTGGTTACAACCACAGCAGGCTTGAGTACAATTTGGCTTAATGATAAATTAGGAGCAGAATAAAAAAAAACAAAAACAATGGCCACCAGTAATTTTTCTGTGGTTAATATTTTAAAAGTATTAGAATTAGAATCAATTTCAAGCAGCAACATTTCTGATTAAAACGCATATGAGCCAATTTCTGCTGGTAGATATATCTATATTGCGAGAGACAGATATTGAACCAGACTACAAGCAGAAGAAAGACGAGTCCCTTTAAAGATGGAAAATCGTGGTAAAAAAACGACTAAGTGAAAAAAAGAACAGATACTTCTATAAGGTAACATGCTGCCAATGGTTATGCGATCATAGAATAGTCCAATAATTTAAGCAAGTCAAAATACAGTGTAGGCTTTTGCACCTTAAAAAAATTCCATTTTTTTTCTTTAGAAAAAGTGTAAATCTAAGATGTACTGACGACTGTTTTAGTCTTAAATACTGCAAAAACAAAGATGACCTGTAGTTTAATAGTTGATCAAGTCGATAATTGGTGCACGTCAAACTCAAGGCCCTGCAGGCGGAATTTGGCCTCCAGCAATTTATTCAACCCTTAATAGCAGAAATAGTGCTTTATAAAATAGAGGCATGCATTCTTATAAAGTACATGCAGTGGCTTAACTTCAATCTAAATGGGACCAAATCTAATACCAGATTAGTATACTCTTCCTAAATGAATAATGAAATCAAATTTTCATAATTACAGCTTCAAACAGCCCTTTTAAATACTTGATTATGCCCAAGTGACAAGAAATAATGAGTTTGACATCCCTGATTTACTGGATAAAAACTGTTCAATATATTTAAAAAATTTTATGTTAGTTTTACTGGGTTCCTCTGTTTAACCATCAAATTATTGATACCAACAGTGTGATTATTGATTTTGGTTGATGTGTGCATACATACTTGGTGTGGCTGTGAGGGGTTCCAGGAGCTTTTCCAAAGTGCCTGTACACCTCTCTGGCTTTGCGGGGTCCTAGTGAATAAATCAAGATGTTAGCAACAGGCACAAAAGGACATTAAAATTCTCAAACAACATCAGCAGTTTTACATCTCAAAATTTTTTTTCACTACAATTATAGTGAAATGTAAAAAAAAAAAAAACAACTTTTGTTCCCTTTGACCTGAAGAGTAGAGGAATGATCATAATATGTAATTTTATGTTTATAATTACTCCTCCTCAAGCTGCTTTAATGTTTTAAAAGATAATCTTACAATAGATTAACGAAATAAGGATGCACAGGTCAGTAAAATTATAAACTAGATGAAAACAAGTTGTGTCTTTACAAGATTGAGCGATGTGTGATTTTCTTTCGAGAATCTATTCTTTGCAGAATGTTACATTTTGTTTTGCATATTCAGAAACTCCTGGATACAAAGTAGTACTGGCAATCCTTTAACTAGAAACAGGGCTTATCTGCAGGTTACACAAATCATGTTACAGCACAATGCTTTTCTGGGTGTGGTGTTAGGATATTTTACTGCTTTTGTGGACAAACAAAAATATCAATAACCTACACAGATTCCTTAAAGCAGTTACTAAACTAAACATTTGTTTCTTGTCAATATTCTTAAACTGTTATTTTATGTTTTGTTTTTATTAGGCATAAACCTAAAAAAAAAGAGGAATAAAAAGTGAAAGAAAAAATCCCAACAAGGTAAATTTAATTACTTTTTTCTAGACTTTGAGACCAAAACCAACAGAAAATGTGTGAAAAAAGCAGCCATTTTTGAGTACTTAACATTAATATGCTGAGGATAACTTATATCCAGCTACCAAATGTCAACACCAAAGTATAAATCTTGGATAGGAACAGAACAGTCAATGTTATCGCCTTCTGATTGTTTTCCAACTCATTAAGTGTGGATATAACTGAGCTAATTTCTATAAATCTGCACAATGCTGCCATTTTGGAACATTTACCTATAATAAATAAGAGAATATCAGTTACCTGACAGCAGCACTGTGCCATGTCCTTTGGGAGAACTCAAAGCCAGCTGATCAAATGTCATCACCTGCCCTCCTGCCTTCAGGATCCTGCGGCGGGCACCGTCAGTCACTCTGAGAGCACAGATCTGAAGAGCAAAATGTACAAATTTAGAGCTACAAAGTAAATAAAGAAAAAAAAAAAAAAAAAAGACTTGCCTTGAGCTTGGGGATCTCCTGAATCCTGATATCATCAGTGACAGTTCCCACAACAACTGCGACCTTGTTCTCACGGCCAGCAAGCTTCATCTTACGGATCTGGTTGGGAGACAAAAGAGGGCCAGGTTTAATTCATGATGAAAAACGATTTACAAGAACATGCAAGGCCAAGGGTGAACGGGGGTCTGGGTTGTAACATGTAAATCTATGAGTTTCATTGTGTGGCTTAAAACGATTTGAAATCCATCACGTTTGCTCATTTTTCTTCTCCACATTAAACACTAGGCTGTTAGTCATCTCCTTTAATTATAATTTATCCGGTCCAAGTAAGAAAAAAATTAAACACCAAGGACATACAAGAACATTCTGGAAAGCCAGATTAAATAAAATTAAATAACTTAAACAGCTGCACTCTTCCATCCGAATGTTTTCCCCTCTTCTTAAAGTCGTAAAGAAATGGCTGTTCCAACCCTTGCATTTCTGAATTCTCCAGAGTGGTTTCCAACTTTACAAGAGTGAATAAAGTGAATGTGAAGGTTAGCAAGCAAGTTTGATCGTGGTCGGTTTGTCGGAAGCATCTTGCTCTCCCAATGGGAACCAACTAGTTTTTCCCCAATTGGGACCAAGTAGCACTTGGCAACTACACTGAAAGTAACGCTAGGGACAGAGGAAACATGCAAGAGGAGGAGAGTTTTTTGTAGGAGGTTGTGGAGGAGTCTCCTCGTCATATATTTTTTATTTAGAGGAGGAAAGTGGGGACCATGTTGTTTTGGAAGAGGACGCCAGATGCTTGGTTTGGTGTAGAAGGCTTACAGCCGTACATGTTTGAGCCCTTGCATCGCAACGTTGCCAGTTCTATTAGCTCGAAGACACAGACGTCCATTCCAATGAACACTGGGATGTAACTCGATGGTTAAGTAAATGATTCTCATTTTAACCGTTGCGTATATTAGCTGCGACATATGAATCAAGGTGATATGACAGACAAAAATTAGATTGATGACCGATGATATAATCATTGGCCAGATTTAAGTGTACAAGCTGACGTATAACTAACTGGCCTGCATAAGATAACGAAAAAAAAAAAAAAAGATTTTAAGACAGGTTTTTGTTTTGTTTTTTTAAATATACATTTTGTAAGTTTTGGGACAATATCATCTGATAAAGAGTACATTTATATACATGTTTAAGCCAGAATGATCTGACATTTATACATGACTTCCCTACGACTTTAAAGGTTTCACTCTTTTACCTTTCAATCAATTCAGCTACACGTAGAAGATGCAAATATAATGCAATACTTCATATACATCAAAACAGAACTTTTATAAACTTCTGACATTTTTTGCTATTAAAGTCTCTTAAAAAAAAAAAAAAACTGGCCTGCTTTTAAACTTGCTCTTAGAAGGTGTCAATTTAAATGCTATGCTTCAACATCACAACGAAAATCTAATAGGACAACCTTCTTTAAAAAGAATAAGTCAAATTGGGGCAGATGAGTAATTATAATATCCCTATTATAACACATTTTAAAAATTGTAAGCCACAGCATGTTCGACTGCTCAAGTTCAGTAGATCTCTCAAAACAATTAAGGCCCCCCTTTACAACCCAATATGAGCCATGTAATACACATGGCAAAACTGATACTTCTGAACATACAAGCATCCATCTACATAATTATGATGCTGCCAAGGTGGAGCAGAAACTTTCTGAACTATGAGACTAACCAGGCGGGAGATGGAGATGGGAGGCCTGTTGGACCTGCTCATGAACAGCCTCTTCAGGACCACCCTGTTGAAGGGAGCATTTGTGCGGCGGGCAAGAAACCTGTACAACTTAAAAACAATAAGACAAATTAGAAAATATTCACAAGACACAAACTCAAAGCACAAATAAATATCAGTGAAGCTATTTAATGGGATAAAACAGCGTGCATTTACCTTGACCAAGAGCCTCAGATAGATATCTTCGCTCTTAGGCTCTTTCCTGTGCACCTTACGGTCCTTGTTGTGCCTGATGTCGACTCCCTTAAAAAATAAAAGACAAAATGAGGTGAATTTTCACTTCAATGAAAAATAACAGTTAGGTTAATTAGTTTGGTACAAAACTTCCCTAACACCACACTAAACCACAGTAAGCTAATCACATTTGGAATGATAAGTTTGATCAAGTACGGATTTCACTTAGTTAGCTGAAGCTAATCTACACGTTGACAACAGCACCTAGCTTTGATCCAAACCCACTGCTGTAAAAGGGATACGACATTTCACTTATCTCAATTTAACACTTTGAAACGATTGTAAGTGTTACAAATAAGTAAGCTAGTGTTTAAAACAGTATCACGCTCACATAAGAGCTTTCAGTGTTGGCTTTCAGTCGGCAACATGACTTAAAGCGGCACCAAAGGTATAATATGGACGGGATTCACAAATGGCTGAAAAGAACGGCAGTTTTTCAACACAAAATAACTTCGGGTCATGTTTGAATACAAATCAGCAAAATTATTTGGTTTGACAAAGAGGATGGAAGTGGATAAAACAGCTATCATATTTTACAATATCTGTTAGCTGTACCTACCATCTTGGATTCAGAGCGAAAAGGGAAAAGGAAGGGACAACGTCTCGCGATAACAGAGTGCTCTGAAATCTCGGCCTTCTGATTGGCTACGAAGCGTGCGCTTTCCGGTTCAAAATTACGGGATGGAGCCCCCAGTGGTTGGTAGTGTAATTTGCTGTAAAACAGAAAAGTAAAAGAGCTTGGATCGTTTGTTAAAAACCCAGACATAAATTATCATTACAAAATGTTATTTTGCTTTTTTATGTGACGCTATTTCTGTCCTTACACTGAAATTGTTTATTTTTAAATACTTTTCTGATTTGAGAGATTTTTCATATTTTATGGTCTTGTGTGTGTGTAAATTGATTTTCATTGCCTATTTGCTTCACTTTGCTTCTATTATAGTCTGCTATTACAACCTGATTCCCAAAGTTTCAAAGTAATCTGAACTACCCAAGTACAAGCACATACATACTAGTGATGGGTCGGGCAACACCGATGCGTTGGCGCATGTGTCGGTCTCATAGAGCGAAACCTGTGTCGACGTGTGTATCGCTACGGAAAAGTCACGTGACAGAAACAGTTCCTGTATCGGTCACGTGACCGATGTTTCTAACTGATTGACAAGCCTTTATAAAGAAGCGCATCTGCCAACGAGATGCATCAATTGTGGTGGAGAACATACTGCTGCTTATCGCGGCTGTGAAGCAAGCAAAAGGTCTGAAGAAATAAAAAAAATGAAATTTGAGCTTGGAATAACTTATGCTGAAGCTGCAAAAAGGATCCCATCTCAGTCAGAAAAACCCAAACCTACAGTTCAACACACGGCAAATTTCAAACCTCTAGAGAAATCTCCAAAAATTGATGAAGACTCACTAATTGTTAAAAAGACAAATTTTGTTCTTTTCATGGTGGAAGTGATTAATTGTACTGCTCAGACGACAAAAAAAACAGAAAAAATCAAAATAATAGTGAAGGCTGCAGAAAAATATCTGGATGTTAAAGATATGAACTGGGAGATGGTTGGAAGCATGATGGAAAGACCAATGGGACCATCAGAAACTGGCAGAGGTACGATGACCTAGAGTAAATTAAAATTATACGGGCAAATGTAATTTAGTATAATTTAGTATTATGTGGGTTTAAGTTACACAGGTTATTTTATTGTATTTTTTTTTTTTTTTTTTTTTGGGGGGGGGGTGAATCGTTTCCTGTTTCCTTGCTTTACTCCATATCAGTTGGTGGCGGTAATGCACATTTCACAAGTTTGCCAACCGCCATAAAATCTCATAAGAAGAAGAAGAAGAAGAACGAGATGCATCTGCCAAAACAATCTTCCGTGTTTTGTGAATATAACATTTATCAAAAATTATGGAGCTTCCTCAAGGAAAAAGAAAGGTTTCTGCCATGTGGGACCACTTTGATCTCATTTCGGAAAATAAGGTATTTGTTTTAATTTCCTTGTTTCATCCTGTTCCTCTCAGAGTTTCCACTTGATTTTCTGAGTAGAAATTCATTTCAAAGTGACCTTTAGTTTACTGTCCGTGTTTTTTTTTGCAGGTTAAATGTTGCAATTGCTCAACAGAGCTTGCATATTTAAATAACAGCACCTCCTCAATGCTGAGGCATTATAGGGCCAAGCATGAGCGTGAAATCCATTATACACCCATGATGAACTCAGGTATACAGGTATTTTACAACTTACTGACTTTGTTTTATTGATAATTCTGAATAATTTACACTTTCTCATTTTTAACCATCAAGCTTCCAGGAAGCAGATGCTTGATGAGGCTGTGCTTAATTTCATTGTAAAGGACTGCCAGCCCCTCGCTGTTGTGGAGAATGAAGGGTTCAGGGAGCTGGTTCAGCTCCTTGAGCCCTCATATGTTTTGCCAACCAGAAAGGTTTGTGTGGAAATTATCTAAAGTGGTAGTTTATTCATCAAATTTATTTTAAATATATTGATTTTCTTCTGGTTTGACTTGGTGTGGTTTTCAGACCATCAAACAACTGTTGGCCAAAAAGTACGAGGAGGAACGGGAACGAGTGAAAATGGAAGTACAGCAGGCTGTGGCAGTGAGTATAACCGCTGACATGTGGACATCTGTGAACATGGAGGCTTACTTGGCTCTAACCTGTCACTACATTGATGAAAATTTGCAGCTGTGTACATCTGTGTTAGGTGTGCAATACTTTCCACAAAGTCACACTGCTGACAATTTGGCCCAAGTAAAAAGGGCCATGATGGAGGACTGGGCTATAACAAATAAAGTAAAGTGTCTTGTGACTGACGCAGCACCAAACATGATTGCATGCGCTAGACAACTCCAAATTCGGCACTCAATTTGCATTGCACATAGTCTCAATTTAATTGTTAGAAAATCATGTGATCAGATCCCCACTCTTACATCCATCAGACACAAAGCCAGGCACATTGTCACATACTTCAGATCGAGCACCACAGCCAAGGAGAAGCTTGCTCAAGTGCAGCAACAGATGGGGCGACCAACCCTGAAACTTATCAATGAGGTGCCAACACGCTGGAACGGCACGTATGAAATGCTGTCAAGGCTGCATGATGAGAAGGAAGCAGTGTGGGTATCTCTGGCCTCTCTAAAAACAGATTTGACTCCACTTACAGCTGATGAGTTTACCATCATAGGAGAAACACTACTTGTGCTTGCTCCTTTCCATCAAGCTACAGTGGAGTTGTCTGCAGAGAGGCGAGTGTCAGGATCAAAGGTCATCCCAATGATGAAAATGCTCTATATGGCACTTGAGCGTAATGCTTCAACCTTGCACACTGACACAGCACGACACCTACATGAACACCTGAAGCGTCGAGTTACAGACACTGCTTCCAACCTGGAGTCATTAAGTGTGTTGACCCTGGCAACACTTCTAGACCCCAGATTTAAATCACTTGGGTTCCACAGTTCCTCTAAGTGCAATGAGGCCCTCAGCAGACTGCGGACAGAATGTGCCTCAATAGTTGGCAGCTCAAATGAGCCCCAGCCGGGAACATCTTCACAACAGCTGTCTGCCCCCGCTCCAGGCATGATATTGAGCATCATTTCTTTGTTGTTTGTAAATCATGTACTAAAATACCTTTTTTTTTTTTTTTTTTTTTTTTTTTTTTTTTTTTTTTTTTTTTTTTTTTAGATGACCTTTGGGAACATTTTGATCTCGAAGTGGGGAGGCAGACCAAAAGTGCCACAGCTGATGCCATCCTTGAGGTGCAAAGATACATGGCAGAGGGCAATATTGCGAGGTCCCAGGATCCTCTTTTATATTGGAAAAACCAAAGGACGGTTTATCCAAACCTCTTCCGCCTGGTCTTAAAATTCTTGTGCACTCCAGCTTCATCTGTGCCGTGTGAGCGGGTGTTTTCCACAGCTGGAGAACTAGTATCAAAAAAGCGCAACAGACTGAATTTTAAAACGTTGCAACAACTTATTTTTTTGAATAAAAATTTGTAAAAAAAAATACCAGTGAACAAGCATCTTCATTTACTACATGTTTACTTGGAGATTATTACATTATGATGCAGGTTCTCATTATTCATTGACTGTGTCTAAAATATCAAATATGTTTTAATAATAATACAATGCATCATACAATGAATTGCATTATATTAGTGTATATAATAGGTCATCAAATCAGTGTCAGTTAACTCTGTCAACTAGGTTGCCTGTAGGGATTTTTAATGTCCAGCAGGTGTCAGTATTCAGTGACACAGTATCGACACTGTATCAATACAGTTTGGTAATGTGTCGAAACGTTTCATGACGCCTCATCAACCCATCACTAATACATACCCCCCACCCCACACACACACACACACACACACATTTCATTGACTTGCATTCATTTTATATGGCCTAACCCAGACCCTCACCCTAACCCTAACTATTACCAGTCCTAAACCTAACCCCAACTCAAACAACAAAACTTTACCATATAGGGACCAGTTGAATGTCCCCATATGGACCTGTATGTCCTCGCATGTATAGATAGATAGATAGATAGATGATAGATAGATATGGATGTACACACACAAATCCCTGCAAACAAACACTGTGAACGTTTTCTGTCACATCCAATTTATTTAAATCACTGAATAGTGCAAATAAAAAAAACATACTCAAGACACTTAATAAAGTTAGATTTAATCATTCATAAAGACAGACTGCCTATAATGATTGCATCTAGTCATTGACTTGCTTCACTCCTATTGGATGAGTATATAACAACAGTGGACAGCTGTTTTCATTAAACTACCTTTTTTGCACACAAGAGGGAACACAGGAGCACTGCATCCAGGAATACTTAAACAGAACAACAAACAATATGAATCTACATAATGAATTTTATGCATTATAAGACAAATAACAGCAGAGTGAGATGGGATAGGAATCACATTGATTTCATGATTATGTGGAGAAAGAAAACTACACACTTGCCAATGAGGTTAAGGCAGTTTACACACCACAGCTCTTAACTCATTCAGGTCAAACATCTCAAGGGCAGCAAAAATAATTAAGGCCAGCCATTTCTGCATTCATTTACTTATTTTTTGTTTGTAGATTTAAACAAACAGGATCAGCTGATTAAAAAATACAGCAATGTTATTATTTCCATAGAGAGTATATATTTGAGAGATTGAGCTTCAGTTAATTCCATTATTTTATAAGCAATCTCTAGAAAATGAGTGTTGAATTTATGCGGGGTTGTTTCTATGCTGCTGTCTAAGATGACACAGAAAGATGGTAAAAGTCAGAGCGATTCCTCCCACAAATGCAGTACGAGCCACAGGAGGAATGAAGACAAAATTCACAGCCTAAAACAGAAACAAGAGAGGAAAGCAAGGTTTGACAATCAACATCCTTTGTACATTTCTCTTTAGTGAATGTGTGAACAAAAAAGTAAAGTATGTCACCTGCATTGTTGACCAATACACGACCCCAGCCTGCAGTGATAAACAGATTGAATACAGCACTTAAACACACTGTTATATCATAGACCAGTAAAACCAGTTATCTTTCTTTGTACCTTGTAAGACATCCAGAATTTCTGTCGCCAGTCTTCAAGTGGGTCGTCTTTGTTTTCTAATAAACTTAAACCTGAAAGACAAAAATTCAGTTCCTTATTTAACCATTGCATTTCTGATTATTCTAAATTATTCGATTAGTCATGCAGATCCTCTGGAACAAACTGAATTAAAATATTAGTTTAACATTAAGATATATTTAAAATCCTAAATGTAGCCAAAAAGTAAACCATCACCATCTCTAAATACATAAATACATATCATTTGATTTTTGTTGTTTTAAGTCAGATCACAGGTATTTCCAGAAAAAAAGAAAGCTGCACCTCAGCATCTACAACAAGACGAGATGATTCACTAGACCGTTGTGTCGTTACACACGGCAACAGGGAGGAAGCAGCACCACCGACATCCAGTGGTGGATGAAGTGCTCAACAGTAGTACTAGAATAAAAGTACTGATACTGATAGTCAAAACTTTTTCAAGTAAAAGTTACCTGGTCAAACATATACTCAAGTATTGAAATATTCACTTTTGAAAATATTTAAGTATTCAAAAGTACATGCATTTAAAAGTACTTAAGTATTCAAAATAGAAATAACATGTACTAATATCAGTAAATATCCTTGTGATTTTCAGAGTAATTTTAAAGAACCCTTTCAGAAACCACCTGATGCATAGAACCAGCTGCTACAGAGTCTACACCACTTGTAAAGAATGTCAGCATAAAATTGCCTAAAAACTTAAGGACAGCTATTTTTTTAATATTTTTTCTTATTTAAAAACAACCCAAAAACTAATCAGGATTTTCTTGATTCTTCTCACACTTTCCCTATGGAATAGAGGTTTAAGGTTCGATTCAATTCAATTCAGTTTATTTATATAGCACCAAATTCACAACACATGTCATCTCAAGGCACTTTACAGTTCAACCAGATCATACAGTCAAATTGATACAAAGTTTTCTATCTAAGGAAAACCAGTTGATTGCATTGACTCATTGACTCAAATACAATCCCTCACACTAAGCATGCTTGTAGCGACAGTGGAGAGGAAAAACTCCCTTTTAACAGGAAGAAACCTCCAGCAGAACCAGGCTCAGTGTGAGCGGCCATCTGCCGAGGCCGACTGGGGTTCAAGGAGAGAGAAGCAGAGATACAAAAAGCAGCTGTAAAAGGCGGCCCCGTCCAGGAAACACACAGCCAGGCAGACGAGCTCCAAGGCAGCTCCCATGCCAGAGGACGAAGAGAGCACATCCACTCAGTCACGGTCAGAGAAACAGGACCACACTGGAAAACAGGCTGATCTCCAACATCTATAAACAAGGGTGTTGATGGAAGCAGCACAGCTGATGTTTCTTTCCAGGATGACGTCACAGCCAAACAGGAACAGACGAGGCAAAGCTACTCTGAAGAAAAGCAGAGAGAGCAGAAGGTTAGAGATTGAACTAACAGATTCTGCAGAATAGGAGAACAGAGAGAGAATGAAGCAGAATGATGAAATGGGGGTCCCTATGTCCTCCAAAAGTCTAAGCCTATAGCAGCATAACTATAGGTTGAGTCGATCACCATAAAGAAACTCCAACTATGATTTGAGAAATCCTCTAACTGAACAACTTGAATACAAAGCAACAACCAATGCCTTAAAATGTAAAAACAACAAATAATATGTACCAAATGTGGATTTCTCACATTTCTGGGATGTTGTGCAAATCTGTAAATCTAGTGGTGTCCAAATTCAGTCCTAACCGCTGCTATCTTGCATGTTAAAATTGCATTTCAATTAAGAAAAACAGCAAACATGGATTACAAAGCTAAGCTGAGCCAAAAGGAACAAGAACAAGTAACTAGCAGCTTCCTTGAAATGTAGTAGAGTAGAAAGTGCAATATTTGACTTTGAAATGTACTTGAGTGAAAGTTATAAGCCCCCTCCCCCCCCCCCCAAAAAAAAACTTACTCAAGTAAAGATACTCAACAACAGTATTTAAGTACAGTAATCAAGTCAATTTACTTTGTTACTTTCAACCACTGTCGACATCATATCCCATTAACAACATGCATTCTAAACAAATCATTGCCTCAACGAATACATTTTGCAAAAAAAAAGAAAAAAAAAAGAAAGTGCTATTGAGCCTAGGTGACACTAAAACTGAGTCTCCTTAAAGGGAGCTTTGTTTTATTTGCTTTACCACCTGGAAATGAGGCTGATTAGTGGGACCTCAGCCTGCTCTATTTCAGTTGTTTTTGTTCTTCGATTTTATGGTGGTTGGCGAATAATTGCTGCTTTTATAAGCAAACTTAGGGCGTTAACTATTTTCTTTCAGCCATTTTTCAACTATGAAGGATCGACCCTCATCTGACTTTACTTAAATGTCAGAAATGGTAGAAAGAAAAAAACCTACCCTGTTACATTTATTTAATTATTGAAAATGATTCAATTTTCCATGTGTGCTTTTTTATTAGTGAGAAACTAAAATCTAATTTTGAGTTTTTATATTGAATAAATGTATTCAAATTAAAAGTTGCATTTTATAAGTAATTTCGGGGTTAGGTTGTGTTGTAACATTATAGATTATTCATCTAAGGCTTTTTAATAATCTCTACCTAGGATAGGAAGTAACAGAGTTTGAAGAACAAAGAAGTTTATCTATTTACCTGTGACATTCTGTAAGAGGTCTTTTATTGAGCAGAATATGGGGGACTCTCCTTTCCATATCATCAGTAAATGTCAGAAGCATTCTTGTTCTATCAATGTAATGTATGTCATATACTAATAATTCTCAACACTGACCTATGAATTATAAGATAAATTCCACAGAAATTAATGAATGGAAAAAAAACCATCCAATACCATGGAAATAATTACTCTAAGTGTCTATTATAAAGACTTAAGAAGAAGTAGTTTTATAACTAAAATAGGGATCGCTGATTAATGAATGGTGAACACTGAAGGGCAGCAAAGGCATATCTGTGTATTCCAGAATTCAGCTGCAGTTTATTGTGTTCTTTTTATGTTGCTAAAAAAAAAACAAAAAACAAATAAGATATCTCTAGGTCTGAAAGGAATCTGTATCCAATTATATAGGTTCAGTGGGGACCTGGTTCCTTTCTCCACTGGTTACTGGGCAACACAGACAGACAATCCACACATACGCCCCTATCTAAGGGAGGTTTAGTGGAAAGCAATTAACTTAACTATCATTTTTGTCTGTGGGAGGAGGATGGAGGAATATCTGGATGGAACATATAAAGTTGATGCATGGGAAAAACATATTAAACACGCATCAAATGCAAAAAATGCATCACTTTGAAGCTCACATTGTTTGTTGTTTTTGAAACATTTTTATTCAGATTTTAAGTTTCGATGAGCCACTTGATTTTGTTTAGATTAATTATGCTCTCCCATTACACAGATGCACTGATAGGAGCTGAAAATCCCTGGTTTTGAAATTAACCGCTTAACTTTATTTCAGTGTTTGACAGATATTTTTGTCAAACGTCAACTGATAAAGGCCTACAAAACAAGTGCATCTTTGAACAGGTTTTTGACAATCCATCCATCTATTTTCTGCCACGCTTATCCCAAACTGGGGGTGTTGGTGCCTATCTCCAGCTGCCTACGGGCGAGAGGCGGGGTGCAGGGCAAGAAAACGGGACAAGCAACCATTCAAGCACACTCTCACACATAAGCAGAATTTTCGTGAAGCCAAATAACCTAACAGCCATGTTTTTGGACTGTGGGAGGAAGCCGGAGTCCCCGGAGAGAACCCAAGCATGCTCAGGGAGAACATGCAAACGTTTTTGAACATGCTTACCAATATAAAAAGCACTGATAGTAGCAGGAGCTGCAATCAGCTGATCCAGAACCACTTTCTTCATCACCGCCTTCGCTCCGCTCCCTGGCAGTATCCTCTCCAGGCCTCTGAGCCAGTGATAGTTAAAGTTGGCATGGAAACACAGCCCCACAGCCGCCACTCGAGCTGTCTGACACCAGTTGATCTGGGCTGACCCCTCAGACTCAGATCCAGTGGGATTTTTACCCAGGACACTCTGCTGTATGAGGTCAGCTGAGGCAAACAGCGCCGTGTATCCCAGGACGTTGCTGATGTAAGGATGAGCCTTGAAAAAGGTCCAGGCCCGGTTCATGGTAAAACGTCTAATCAGAAGGAGCATGTTGGACATTTAGAATACAGCGGCTTGCAAAAGTAATCACACACTTTTAAGATTTATGAAACGTTATTAGATAACAAATTTTCCTTTACATTTTTTAGATATGTTTAACACAAACCTAATAAATAAACCATACAGAATCCATAATGTATTGTTTAATATAGCTTATTTAATCAAAATACATAACTATCAGTTTTATGCATTTTGAATTTTGAAAAATGTATACTAATGAGTGTATTTATTGCAAATTCATAAAGTTTATTTGTTTTGAATTGCACAATAATCAGGCTACCTTTATGCCTATTATATTAATAGGTTGTGTTAAAATAATATAAAAATGTATTATGTAATAAATGTACATAAATCGAGTTTGCATGTTCTCCCTGGGCATGCGTGGGTTCTCTCCTGGTACTCCGGCTTCCTCCCACAGTCCAAAAACATGACTGTTAGGTTGATTGGCTTCTCTAAATTTTCCTTAGGTGTGAGTGTGTGTGTGAATGGTTGTTTGTCCTGTGTGTCTCTGTGTTGCCCTGCGATGGACTGGCAACCTGTCCAGGGTGTACCCCGCCTCTCGCCCATTGACTGCTGGAGATAGGCACCAGCACCCCTCGCGACCCCAATTGGGACAAGCGTGTAAGATAATGGATGGATGGATGGATGTACATAAATCTTGAAAATTGTGTGAATTATTTCCATGGGTGCATTGGTCACTTTAAATCCTCAAATCTCCTTTCATTTAAATCAAAATAACCTTTAGAAAGCTCAAAGAATTACTCTAAAAAACAAAAAGCAAAAAGCTTTTGTAAGTCTGAAAAAATACAAACCCAAAAACTAGGCAAAAATCCTTAACCCCTAGAACCCTACGGACCCACCGGTGGGTCCAGCTGCTACGTGACCTCGTAATTTTAGCAAACCCCCAGTATTGATGTAAAAAACACATTTGGCACAGTTTGGTGACATTTTTGGATAAATGTGCCAAAATGGCCCCTCCGCCTAAGAAATTTCTCACTAATACCATTCTAAAATAAATGTGATTCATCTGATTAAGTCCAAATTTGGTATATTTTTACACAACATTTAGATTTAAACGTCTGTACTACTTTTTTGTGCTATAAATAATATTTTGGTAGTGTTTTGCAATGTTTATTTCAAATAAAATTTTGGCGAGGTTAAAAAAATGCAACATATTTTGTATTTTGTCCCTAATATTTCAGGCAGGGTCAAAGCTACAATGGTGCTGACACCAGAAAACCATTCTATGACATCTTACCTTTACAGAGGTACCAAAAGTTTCTTCTTAAATCTAATAGCTGTGAGGCTATAAGTGATTTACTTTTGTGTGTTTTTGTCAGGCAGAAATTTATTTATACCCCCTGAGGGTGTAAGAGGTTAACAGCAGTAAAATTAATCATAAATGAATCATTAATTAATGATAAATGAATAACTTTCTGAGTTGTAGCTATAATGTCTCAGACTAACAGCCAATATGCAACATCAGACTGTCTGCTAAAAACCAAAAGGTCACCCAAAAATAATTAAAATAAAATCCCATAATTACTACAACATAAAACCTTATATAGTTTTAAGCCTCAAATTATTGCAAATATGTTGGTGAGGAAAGCAAATTTGAATCTCTTTCCAAGCATTACATAAAATAATCATTCCAATCATTTTAATCATTTACTATTTTATTTTTAAGAAAAAAAATTTTTTTGAATCTACTCTTTTAAGGATGATCAAGTCATACAGCTTGGATCTGTTTTTCTGAGCACTTCATTATTGATAGTCTGTTATCTTTTCCAGAGGCGTGTAGCAAATACTTACATTTACTTGAATAACTTTTTGACAGAAATGTACGTCTAGAAGTAGTTTTCTTCTGCACTGTACTTTTTACTTGTAATTGAGAAATATATTAATAAAATATTTCTAATCTTACAAGAACATTCAGAGTGAGTAACTTAGTAACAACCTTGTTTTAAACAGTAGGTCTCCAGACAAAGATGCATAGTAAATGTTTTTTTCAAAATCAGTTTTCTTTTTTTATTCACAAAAAATATGTGGTGAACCTACGGTGTTACCTGAAGGTCAAACCTTTATTCAGTAGTAGTAGATGTCATCATTGGAGGTACTGGGTTTATACGTTTTATATCAAAAAGACAATCAGATCTGAAAATTGAGTTTTCTGCCTGGATTTCTTGTTTTTGAATTTATTTTATTATTCTTTTGCTTGAAATTTTTTTATTTTTTTTAGGTTTTTAACCGCGCTAGTGGCTAGTTTATTGTAAAGGGGGCAGACAGGAAAGGGAGGTATGAGAGAGGGAGAGAGACATGCAGCAAAGAAACACAGGCGGGTTTTGAACCCAGGTTGGCCAAGTCGAGGAATAAGACCTCCGCACATGGATCGAGCACACTAACCACTACATCACCAAGGCATGCCACAATTATTTACCTTTAAATACCAGAATTTGAAAATATTTTCACATTCTGGTCTGTTTATTACATAATATTAAATAATAAATCAGATGTTAGGAGTTACTCAGTAATTCAGTAACCTTTTTACTAACTTTTTTACTCTTGAGTCATTTCTTACTTCTCGCTCTCTCGTGAGTTAAAACATGATGAAGAAGTGCTATTCTTACAACCACTGATGTTTTCTATCTGGTCTCTGTGTTGTAATTTCCCCCCAAAAAAATTCTGATTTAAAATCTAATACAGTTCAGTTTGACAAAAAAGTATATATATATCTTTGAGTCTACACTGATGTGACTCATATTAGATATAGATATTATTCAACCAATTAGGATTGCCTCGCTCCCTCATTCCTCAAAGCTCCGCCCTATAGGGGTACATGGTGATATAATAGCACTGTCTCCCTCCTTAGTTTCTAAAGAGGATTTCTACCAGAGTAAGTTTTTTTTTTTTCCCTAAGTAGGGAGAAAATAAAGGAGAGTATAAAACAACACTAGAAAACAACCTTGGTATTTAAAAATAAATTTACTTACCTGTTACTTTTTCCTAAATCCCCCAATGCCACTAAAACAACCTCCTCTCCTGTTGGCTCTCCTGATCATAGAAAGAAAGAAAGAAGAGTTTTTTCATGGTCAAAGTTTAGCCTCTGTTGAAATGAGTGTGTGATAAAAGCTTTTATCAGTCCATTCTGAGGAATGTGGGAAAACAGCACATGTAGAGATGACTGAGCAATCCCCTGCAGCAGACAGGAGAAGCTCACACTGTCCAACCTCTATGTTAGACTCCTCGCCATGACTTCACAGAGTTTAGCGTTATAAGGTTGCTGTGTTAAAGTTAAGGCTTGTAAACTCTGCAGCCTTCTGGTTGGAAGCACATGTGGCGTTTCTATAAATAGATGAAGCTCCTGCAGCAGCCGTTCCTCCCTCTGACATGAAACGCTGTTGCTTTTCTTTTAATGTTTCATTTTATTTTTTTTACAAAATGTTTCAAAATTTGTTACTATGAAGGTGGTCAAAATGTTTTATTGATGACATTAGGTGAACCAGGCAGAAACTTCTCATTGTGCACATTTACCTTTAAAATGTCCTATTTTTCTCAGAGATTTTTATGACATGGTAAACATTTACTTGCATAACAATTGCATGGTTGATTTTTTTAAAAAACGTATTCCTTCAAATGTTAAAACAGCATAAAAAGTGGCCGGGGGGCATTTAAAGGTGGAGCAAGGCCTCCTACGTGCTCATCCCCATTTTCACTTACAGGTGGTGAGGCTGACATAGTAGGAAAATTGCAAATCTTCTTTTGGAAAGTTAGATTGTATTGTGCATGCTTTTAAACAAAGCATGCACGAGGAGAAATGGGCTTGTGCACGCTCTTACACGCGTTTAATAGTCGTTCCCTCTAAATAGCGGGTACAGGGTTAAGCATGTGCATTTTGTTGCGAGTATAGAGGGCAGGTCTTTTCAAAAATTTGCAAAAATCCTCCACTCTACCTGTAACTTTCTTTGGCATCCAGATAAGCTCAAACCTAAATCGAGGGAGCAGAGGGAACTGGACTAGGTTTTGAGTTTTATATATTAGTAAGCCCACACATATAATGAAATAATATATTTTGTTCCTGTCCAGACTTGGAAAATAATCAAAATAAATGATTTGCTGTTGTTATTGTTTTTTTTAAGTCCGTGTAAGGAACCTGAAAGTTATTTTTTTTTCACTCCATGTCTGTGAATTGGTAGAAATACAGTTTGTGAAAAAATATCTTTGCCTTAAACAATATGACTTTAACTTTGGAAAGAAAAACACAAAAGAAACTAGATCAAAAATAAAAGGAAAAAAACCTGGGCCACCAGTATGGTTATCAAAACTAAATAAAACTCATATATAACCTTGTTGTTTTGGAAAATAATTTATTTTTCATAAAAGGATACAATTCGTTAAAAATAGCAAATGAAGTTAACTTATTGTGTCTAAATCGTAATACTTATTGGTTTCCTTCTGTTTAGACAGAAAGCCCCCACCTGCTGCCATAGATATGTAAAACTCTGCACTTGGAAGGTGTTTTGAAATGGTCAATTAAAGCCGGTAGCAACCATTTGAGCTTCTCCATCTGAGAATGTGATAATAGGGGGGATGGGGGGGAGGTCAGAGTTTAAACGAATCAATTAAGGCCTTGTTAACAACCACAAATGCTGTGTTTCTGCTTCCCGGTCCTTAACAGGCACTTTTTTTATTATTAAAGGACACAATTAAGGCATCTGCCCACACACTTCCATAAGCAATTGACTTTTCAGATAATTGCTGCTCTCGCTTCTCATCTTGTCTCACTTTCTCTTCCAATTTGTCAGTGTGAATGGCATTCATGCTGCCAAAGAAAGAGGAATTTGTGCCTCTGCAATGAGCACTGATGACACTTTGACTCAATCTGTGCACACACAGCTGCAATAGCTGCACTCACTGACAAACACATTCATAAGCTGTTCACAAACCACACCTCTCTGGAGATGTCCACCTCTTCTGGCTTCAGTGCTGCTTGCAGAGACTGACAAACACAGCATCATTCAGGCAAAAAGGTAAGAGGAATGTGTAATTATTACTTTTTTTTTTAAATAAAACATAAGCAAGGATATTTAGAAACTTTGGTTAAAGGTAACAGAATTTAAGTAGAAATAGTAATTGGATGCATTGCTTTTTTGTTATGATTAGCATGTAAAACTCATTTCAAATATTTTATCATTAGAAAGAGTATGTACATTTTTGTAATCACTCTAAATTTACATTAGGAGCAATAAACAATTATTTTCAGCTACTGTTAATTTAGGTTCTGCCCTCTTTAATCTAATTTCTTACTTACTGTCTTTACTTATCTTTACACAACACTGATTAAGATCTGGTAATGAAGAAAAAATATTCTTATTTTAGCTTTGGTCTAAAATGTTTTTTGTTGTTGTTTTTTATTCTAAGCAAAACACCACATAGGGGATTAAAACATAATCATAGCTGTAAATTAAAATGATCAGCACCCTCTTCAGTCTTTCATAAACTAAATTCTGCAAACCGGTTTTTAAGGATCGTAACCTTCGGATGTCATGGAACACAGGAGGAGATGGGATCATTTTTGTCCAAATAATTTTTTTGTTCTTTCAGGTGATTTTGGACATAATCAACAAGTCAAGCAAAAGTAGGGCGAAAGAGGAATATCTTAATTACAGAAACTACTTTTCTATTCACTTAATTTTTTTTAAGGCCACAGGTCTTTTTTGGTGTTAAAGAAAAGTTCCCTTTGAATGATTATTATAGTACAGCATGGTTTAATTATTTTGCAGGTAACTGCAGAGACAGGTATACATAGCAGGATTTTGGTTGCTTGCAGGCTGCTGTTTTAGAAAACATTTTCAGGTTTTAAATGCTTTGATTACAAAACCTTATAAAGGGAGTTATTGGATCTGTCTAGAACCTTTTAACTAACTGAGAAAACTCAGTTAAGAGTTTTCTGATGCAGGTAAAGTTTTCCCTAACTGAAACGCATAAAATACTGCATAAAAATCCTATTTATATTTCTCAGCCATGCGACCTTCTTTCTCTGTGAGCCTTGAGCCCGGTTTGGAGAGAGGCATCCCTTGGGGTCGTGACCTTTTCACCTTTGTGACTTCAGCGGCAGGTCACATGATGCGAACCCTTGAAAAACCACGAAAGAGCCGTCCGTCCAAACGGCAGGTCAACCATCGCCGCTTCCTGCACAACATGATTCAGAGGTTTGTCTTGCTGTCAGTCAAACAATGGAGGAAATCGTTTCATGTAGCTGCTTGTTTTCAAAGGTACCAAAAATAATATTTGGTTTAAAAAACAAAAAGCAAAAATGGAATTAGTACTTAAAAAAAAAACAGTTTGTTCTCTTTTCGTAGTTTAAAACAAAACCTTGGATTTCCTCTTCAAGTCTCTAAAAATACGGTAAAGGGAACATACAAAAATAGTAAAATTTCTTCAAATTACAGACAGCAGATTTGTGGATAAAAAGGTGAAAGACAAAAAAAGAATTTTTATTTTTATTGTTTTAAATGACAGCTATAAACTCTAAGGATTTTGGCAAACATAGTATGTTTCCACATTTGTAATGTATCAGTGGATGCAAACTGAATGCATTTACCTCTAATAAGCATTCATACTATAGGAAAGGATCTACACTGACAACAAAGATGCTACTTTAATATCGCCTTAGACGAGGCTCAGATTGTTTGAAAATAAAAACCAATACCCGAGGAAAACAGTTTATTTTTTATTATTACTCTTATTTAACCAAATCATTCTTCATACATGTGATTTATCATGTTCCAACTTAAGATCCAATTTAAATAAATAGCCTCAATTATTAACAAGTAATTAATTTAAGTTTTTCCAACTTGATTTATTTAAGTTTTCAACATATAAACTTTATAAATTAAGTTGGATCAATTTGATTCTTGTTATCAGTTTTGGTATAAAGCAGGTTCTACATTTAAATGGAATAATTAAATGGAATAATCTACATTTTATAGGGAAATGGGAGTCTAGTTGTTTGGGCATAGAGCTTGGAATCTTGAGGTTCTGGGTTCGAGTCCCACTCCCACAGACTGCCACTCTGGGTCTCTGACCAAGACCCTTAACCCCACACTGCTCCCTGTGCATCCCACGATGGCAGCCCACTGATCCCCAAAGGGATGGTTTAAATGCAGGGGTAAATTTCTTCAGTGTGAGATCAGTAAACTTCATTTATATTATTATTAAATGTAGAGAATTGGTCCATAAATGAAAGCTTTAAGACAGCTATTGACCATTTAGATATTATTTTGATGTTTTTAAAACAACAAAGAACATGGCCATTACTGAACAAAAATAAAACATTTGGTTTCCTTGTAACAAACTGGAATTGAAAAAAGGGTCAGATTTGAATTTGTTTCTTTGCTAATCCTTTTCAGGTAAAAAAAAAATGAATCTGATAATTTTTTTAATGGTTTCTAAGAATATAATTTAATATAATGTATTTTTGGTCAAAACCTATTTTATTTTTCCCAGGTGTTTTAAGACTTTTTAATGTTTGTTTTTAGATATTCTTGTTGTGTTACTGCTTTTTTTTCTACCAGGACGAAAGGTGGAAAGAGAAAGCGACAATATGCAGAAAACAGCCCAAGGTCAGGGTGTGAATCCAGGGCAGCTTTTTCCAGCAGTATATCCTCCACATATGGACCATTACTATCACATCCCTTAGCCAAATGATGCCCGAGGCTTTTAATATTTTAGTTGAGATTGAGAGAAATAAAGAAAGCAGTGTTAAGCTTAAAAGGTTTGTCTGACAGATACACCAGTACAGAAAATGCTGTCCACAGAGGATCTGACGTGTTTTTTAAGATCAACTAAGTTAAAAAGGAAATCTCACTATGTCTTACATTAGGACCTTGTCTGTCTCTCAACAGGAAATTCGCAGACATAGAAGCAGCGAACCACCGGCTATCATCGGCCCTTTATGATAAGGATAAAGAAAAAAGCACACCAGCTCTTTCGGAGCCAGAAAGTCCCCCTTCAGAAAGAGGCTCTCAGCAGGAGACAGATCAATACAGTGTTTACACTGATTTAGAGGGGATTTCAGAGTCAAGGAGCGGCGCCTCTGAGGAGAGGGAAGAGAAGCAGTTGGATGATAAACATCTCTGGACAACACGTCCTCAAAAATCCACCTGCACGGCTAAGATGAACAACCATAATAAAATGAGACAAACTAAGGAAAAAAGAGGGAAAAAAGTTACTCCATCCTCTTATATGAATGACCAGAATGATAAAGACAGCTCTGAAGAAGTAGAGCTACTTCTGTCTGAAAATCCCAACAACAACCAAATCCAAATGAATCCTGTGAACAACATTTCTGAAAACAATCAAAGACTCCCCAAACATCCCAGTTTCATCCTTTTTGCCCCAAACGAGTACAGTTCTCCCCCTTTCTCCCCTGAGCTCTCTCCGTTGTCTCTTGACTCTTGTGATTTCTCTGCTCAGATGTTGAGCGACCTCTCTGGATGCACACAGGAAACCATCACAGATGGTCTGACTGACGTAACCGAGCTCTACAGGGTTAGTAACCAGGACTCAGTGGGCTATATGGACGTAGAATCCTACTTTGAACGTATGTGTTCATGCCAGGTGGAGGCTGGGTCAGAGGTCTGTCCGAATGAGGATACCATGGTTGGAAACCTGACAGACGACTTTACTGGGTCGGAGAACATGCATGAAGAGGAGTGTATATGTAGCCATGAGAACAGCTGTGAAGAAGATCGAGGAGCAACAGCCGATTATTTCCAAAGTCACCTGAGGAGTTCACAACTACCAGGACAAAGCGAATACCCTGACACCAAGCAGGCATATCACGGCATGGAGGGAACCCCCATCAGCCAGGAGTACAGCATCACAGAGCTCCAGACGCAGGAGGGGAACTCCTGCATGCTGGTAAACAGCCTGAACCTTACACCGTTTGAGGGAGTGGCTCAATCTTTCCCTGTTCCTCCTCTTCCTCATCATGAGCATCGCCCCATACTAACACCTCCTCATGAGGATGACTGGCTGTTTCCTGATATCATGAAGGATAGAGACCCTTACCCTTACTACTAAAGCCACACTGGCATGGAGATATAAATCCAGGGCTAAGCTAATATCTAAGAGGAAACTTTGAGAACAAGTTATAAATAGCTAAATTAAATCCATTACTGTTTACTGTCTTTAAAACAAAATAACGTTTTGGAGATTGTAAAACATGGATTGCATGGATATTTTTCACACTGTTTTCTCAACCCACAGGATGAGTAGTTCATTGTATTCACACCCCCCTGAGGTAGCCAATGAAGGGAAGCTAAAATTGAAGAAATTAGATCTCTCTTTTTAATTTTAATAATCTCTCTTATTAATTTGGTATCTTCTTAAGGAAGTTGGTTGCAGTTGTTTGATTTACGGGTATCAAAGTACAGGGGGGACAAATACTTTTACTAGGTAATGTAATGGTTACAGGTATGTCATCCACATTCAAACTGACCCTTATTTACAGTAGCTTAAGTTTTCTTTGTCAGTAAGTATATAGGTTGGTTTTAATGATGTTTTCTCTCTTTGTTTTCTGTCCCTTGAAGCTTTGAAAGTCGTTAAAGCCTCAATTTCTTACAATAAAAAGTCAAATTAATAGAGATGCTGTGACAGTGTTGTTTTTTCTTTTCCAGATTTCTCAGCATTTAGCATCAGGTAGATTTACATTCTATATGTGTTTCTCTGAGTTTCACATACGGTGCAGGCTGTAGAGTGCCAAAAAAAGAAAGTTTTTAATTGGTCAAGACTTATTGTTGATCACATTAATATGTAAATCAAAGAAAAAAAGGCCATCGTGTCATTATTCTAATATTTTTTAGACATGTCACTTCAGTGCCATTCAGGACAGAAAAGGGCTGTGAAAAGGTGCTCACATCCCTTTTTCTTGTTTTTATTTTTGGTTACCCTTAAATATTTTAGATATGTTTTTTTCTTATATAAGAAAGAATCAATCCGGGTAAATAAAATGTAAATTTTTCAAGTAAGGATTCACATTTGAAGGGGAAAATGTCAAAACCAACCTTTGAATACATGTAATAAATAGTCCCAATAAGCCAATTACTGGTTGTGCCACCTTCGATTCTTTGAGATAAGAATGAGTCTTTTCCAATAGTGAGGAATAATTCTTCACCTGATTAACCTGGATAATCACTTTCCATAACTCCGCATGTCCCATCAGTCTGCAGTGATTTTAAATTTTTTTTTTTATTATTAAATTCCTGGATGAGTTTTTTTTTGCACATCTGGAGTAGTTTTAGCAGGTGAGCCACTCCAAGACAGTTTCCCTAATCTTGTGTTGTCCATTTGTGGATGTCTCTCTGTTGTGTTTCACTGTATTTCAAACATTTTTGTTTAACCTTTTTCAGATTAATAAATGTGCGCTACATAGCGCTGCAGTGCCTTGCAGCAAGAAGGTTCTGGGTTTGATTCCTGGCCCGGGGTCTTTCTGCATAGAGTTTGCATGTTCTCCATGGGCTTACATGGGTTCTCTCCGGATACTCAGGCTTCCTCCCAGAGTCCAAAAAAAGGACTGTTAGGTTAATTGGCTTCTCTAAATTGTCTTTAGGTTTGAGAGTGTGTGCATTAGTGTGTGTCTTTGTGATGCCCTGCGACAAACTGGCGACCTGTCCAGGGTGGACCCCACCTCTCGCCCATAGAGTGCTGGAGATAGGCACCAGCCCTACCTCGACCCTGACAGGATTAAGCAGGAGAAGATGGGTGGATGAAAATAAATAAACTTAGAAAAAGTTTATCATCAGTTAATATGCTTGTTTAGAGCAGGGCTTTTGGAGATCTTTTAGCCTTCTTCATGTTGCAAAGCAGGTTTGAAGTGATTCCCTGATTCTAAAGTTATATCAGTAATTAGTTAGGATTTATATATAGGATTTAGATTTATAGATAAAGGATGTTGAAATAGATGTAACATATACCTTTATAGAGATAATATTTTGTTATAGATTTATCATTTAGTGGTTTTCCCCTTAATGTTATAAAAGTAAAACAATCAACAACCTGCTGGAAATCAACATTTACGTTTGGGTTGAATCCCTTTCCGACATGCATAGTGCACTTTCCATCCAGGAGCATAGATAGATATCCAATGTAATGTTGGGAAGCATGTGAGACAACTCCTATTTTATTTCCCAACCATTGGTCTCTGCTGCCTGCAGTAACCAGTAAACTAGCAGAGGAGCACCAGGCTCGGGGCCCTCATTAGCTTTTCAAAGTTTTAATATATTTCCTTTAAAGGTTAGCCTGATCCTTCTGCTTTCACAATTATGTATGGTTGTTTGGTTCTTAGCATGTGACTCTCAGATTGCTAACAGTTTCTGATAAACGGGTGTTTGTAATAAATAAAGTTTGAATTAATGAATTTTGCCTCTTCTGAATGGATGCTGTGGCCTTATTTTGTGTTGAACATCAGATGCATTTCCATAAAACACCTGTAAATATTCATTTTCACGTGGCTATTTGTTCCTTGGGAAAATAAATGTTTGTCATTCACTGATGAGCATTTTCTAGGCATATAAAAGCAGAAACAACACCAGCATAACAAATAATAAGTCTGAGTATCTTGTTTCTTATTGGATTGGGAGCAAGAAAGGACGGGAAAGATGGGTGTATCTGGGGAAAATACTTTTCTTTAAATAGTACTACTTCAGAAATACTCCTAAAATTAGCATTTAAATGTTTAATTGATTATAATTTTCTTAATTGAACGTTCATCGAAGAAGCTGTAATATCAATAAAAGTACATTAACACTGTATAAATAAATGCCCCATATAAAAAAATAAACCTCAGGACACACAAATAAAAGAAACGGCCACATATATCAAAGTTAACCCCAGTCAGATGTTTAATAATTACAATATCATTAACAAAAAAAAGAATAAAACAATAAAAACATGTTTCAAAAATGTTTCAAGTTCCACAGTACCCATAAACAAACATTCAGGAAACAAAAACAAACAAACACCTCAGAGAAGCTCCGGCCTTATTTCTTGCTACAGTTGACCAGGACTCATCTCGTCTCATTTTAGCGCTCCACTCACTAATAGATTTTGTTCTGTTTGAAGCAAGGTTGCAACGTTTAGGCCGTTTATATGACATGTTTAGGTCATAAGAGTTCGAAAAGGCTTCATCACTGTAACACGTGATCTCTGCCTGTTTGGCTGCATGCTTAGTCGGCCTTTTTAGAGAAACAGCCTGACAGAGCAAATCTGAAAAGCTGATTTTTATCTCATCTGGGAGGGTGTAAAGTGCAGCTTTTACACAAAAATAAAGTAAAAAAAAGAAAGAAAAGGAAATACCATTGCAATGGGCTGTTCCATACATGTAATCAGTAGTTTATTTAAATTTTACCCGCTGCTGTAAATCGGAGTAAAAATGTGGATAAACATACTTCGGCTAAATGAGCTTAAACAGAATCATCCCCGATTACCATAGCAACCGCAGAGGCCATGTGATGTCTCACTGGTAAACGTCGAACATAAAACCAAAAAAATCAAACAGTCAGAGCAACATTTCAGAAACACAGTCTTTAGTTTGCATTGGTTCCCATTAAACAAAACACTTTTTTCTAGTAATTTTATCCTAAAAGCAGTAAATTTAAGGAGTCTTTGCCAACTTTGTCTGTTCAAAACATGTTTGAATCGCAGTTTGCAGATAAGTCTAAAGGTTTAACATATGCATTAAGATATGCAGTGTTGAAAAGGATTTCAAAAGGCAAATTTCAGCCTTTTACCCTTCTGCTTCTCTCACCTGAAACCGAGTAAGCAGGTCAATTGATTCGTTTTTTAATTAGTAAAGCAACTTCTGGGTCAATTTGCCCCTTCACCATTTTATGCATTAGCAAATTAAATGAATTTATGCCATTACATCATTCAACATTTTGGTCTAATAATTTCTGCATAATTACCTGTAAATCCCAAACACAAAAAAATTATTTTGATCAAAGAGAAAAAAAAAATTCTATAATGCAAATTTTATATTATTATTTTATTTGCATTCAAAAACTGTTTGTATGATTGACAACATTTAGCTTCTCATTGAAGTGAGATTTTATGGATTTTGCTGTTTGTTTGTTTGAAGCAACTTCTTTCTATTGATAAAGAAACAAATGTCCTCCCTGTTATATGGTCTAATCAAAAAACAATGTTACTTTAATAAAAAAAATTACTTAAAAACAAAAAAAACTGTGTTAAAATTTCTTTTTTTGATTCTCAACTATATTTTTTTCTTTGATTGAAAAGTTTTTTTTCATTGTGAAGTGAAGATGTTTTTGATTGAAGCAACCTTTTATTAATTGAATTATAAAGAAACAAATCTACCTTCCTAATAATTGATCAAAATATCTAAATACCAAGATAAATAAACTGATACCCATGTTTCTGTAAAAATATTTTTACTTTCTCGCAGAAGTTTTTGCCGTCTTTCAGCACACTTTGTGTTGTCAGACGGATTTCTTATCAGACCTGGCATTTAGCAGCGCTGAGTGTGGCGTTAATCACATGTACCTCAATGACAAATGGGGTAGAGGTGCATGATTTTAAGAATTATTTAATAGCAATACTAGCGCTACAACTTAGGAAAACAGTATTGATTATATCAAATATTAACACTTCTCTTTTTTATTACTACAGATTCCTCACCTATTTCCATGAGGTCTGACCACTTTGATCTCCTGGACATTAAGCAGGGTTAAAGTCTACCCAACTGACCAAATATATAAACTATATGCAGTCATGAATGTATAAAATCCTGCTAAATTTTGCATCTCTGCGGTCCTTTGCTATAGAAAAATTGCACACTTATACTTTGATCTGCTTTACAGTGCAATAAATGGAGCTAATTCCTTTTTCATCACATGGGGCCAGCTTAATACTGCTATTTTTATGTTATAAATAGAATTATTTTTATTTAGGTTAACTTAACATTAATATTAGGCTGATGATCTGCAAATTTTAAGAGTGAAAAAGAAAAAATCTATGAGGGAGGAGGTTAACAAGTGAGGAACAAATTGGCAAAGGGGGGAATTGACCCATGTAATGTTAAAGTCCATCTATCCTTAAGAAAGGAAATCTGCCAGCTAACAAATTCAACTTATTTCAAAGAGCTTTTACAGGCTGAAACCTCTATCAGGTGAACAAGTGCACGACAAGGTCAAAACAACATGGAGCCTTGTTTAGTTAGAAAGCAAAAGTAAAAATACAATCCCAAGAGACACATGTTTAAAGTCAGGTTTCACAAGAGTGTCTGTTTGTCTGAAACCACACAGGTTTGATCATTTTGATCTCAGTAGCTAATGTAAAAAAAAAAAAAAGAAAAATTCATCTGTCAGTGCCACCATTGTCCTTTTCTTTAAACCTATCACTACTAGCGTATGAAAACTGTATGGTCAATCTACCTGTGAGCAGAGACTTATTTATTCATTATAAAAACCCCAGCAAGCTGCCCCCCCAACCCCCAACCCCCGCCCCCAAATCTACTGTATTATGCTGCTACACTATGCATACTACTAATTCACATCCCTTCTCTCATCCATACGTCCACTGTTTGGTTAAACACAAAAGCTTTGCTTTGATCAATAATTTATACGGCTCATCATCAGTGCAGTCAAATCAACACAGTGTCTGTTTCAGCGTAAGATAAGAAAATGAGTTCGCCTCTTCGGATAGAAAAAAGATGAATTAACATGAATCTTCGGTTTCTGTCTTTTTCTTTTTTTTATTTTCAACTGCAGACATACATTTCCTCCCATGCA